GCCCAGGCCCGCTTTGGAGAGCTGGCACCTGGCGGAGGGAGCAGTGAGCAGCGTCTCCCCGCAGCCCGGCTCCAGCACCCACGTGGGCTCCCATTTCCTCTCTGAGATGTGAAGCTCCTTCTCCAATGTCTTCCCAGATCCCAGCCCGTCATGTGAGCCCACAGCTGCCCGCCGCTCCCCACATCCACCCCCCATCTGTCACGGGCATGAGCAGCACCAAGCCCCCCCCCCCTGCCCCCCGTCCCAGTGGGGAGACTCCCGGGTGTTGCAATGGACAGTCTCGTGTTCACCGGAGATGAGTCACGGGCTTGATGAGGAGCAGGTCTTCTCCTCTGAGCTTGAAGAGGCTCGGAATGTCATCCAAGAGGAAAAATCCTGAGAAACACATCCCGGCTTAGTGTGAGGAAGAGCTTTCTGACACGCAGAGATGTCCCCGAGAGAACCCTGGAGTGTTGTCCCGGGAGGGAGCTGGGGGACGGTGGGCTCCCTGTCCCTGGAGGTGTCCCAGCAAAGCTGCGGGGCTGCATCCAGGGTCCCAGGCGCCTCTTCAGCACCCACGCCCATGAACTCACCGCAAGCAGCGGGGAGATAAGAAGAGATGACTTCTCAGTAAGGGCTGTGCTGTGTAATCGTGGGTGACAGAGTCCGCCAGGGAGGGGTTCGAGAAGGCAGGGGGAGCAGAGGAGGTGGCCGCGCTGGCCTGGGCCGGACCCAAGTTCTCAGCCGGTGAAATCAAAGGCTGGAAGGATAAGGCCAAGGCGCAGAGGTGAACGGTCCCCACGGGCCGCGGGGGTCAGGTGGACTCCTGTTGGCCTCAGGTCAGAACTCAGGTGGGAAACAGTGTCCGCAGAGCCCTGGTCCTCATCCCTCACTCCAGGGTCCTCATCCCTCACTCCAGGGTCCTCAGCCCTCACTCCAAGGCACTCGAATTGCAAACAGCAAACGCAAAAGCCTGATGGTGAAATGCCAACCCGATTCCTGGGAGAGTTTTCACAAAAACCTTAGTCATGTCTTAACAAGCTGGGAATGGCGGTTTCTTGGTGCCGTGGACATCGGGGCCAGGCAGTTCTTCGCTGGGCATTGCAGGACGTTCAGTGGCCCGGGTCTCCACCACTGGACGCCAGGATCAGCCGCTCTCCTCCAGGGATAGCGACCAAAATGCCCCGATGTTACCAAATGTCCCTGGGAGCAAGGTCGGCCCAACCCCAGCCGAGGACACACTATGGCTGGTACGGCCTCCAGGAGGGCTGGTGGCCTGGGGGACTCCTCGGAGACGATGGAAGGGTTGAACTTAAAGGTTCGGGGAAGGCCTGGGGCTGGGGAGCAGGTGCTGAAGGAGGCAGGGAGACAGGACACTGGCGATGGCAGCGGGAGGACGACACAAACCGCAGCTGGAATGATTGATTAGCCAAACAGAAAGCCACTCGCGCCGCCGCTATGCCCGCAGGCACTGTGTGCTGACATCATGACGGCACTCTCTCCGCCGAGTCTGGATGGGGACATCCGTTTGAGCAACTGGCCACTGTTGACTTTGGCGCCGTTCCCTGGTATGTAACAGTGATACCTCCAGTCAACGCCTGTGGCTTCTCCCATGGTCATCCCCCCTTCCTCCTCCTGTAGCCAACCTTGTGATGGGGTGTGTGGGGGGGAGGGGCGGGAATAAGGTGGGAAAAGGATGAGCCAGGGAAAGGAAGAATGAGATGCACACATCAGGAACAAATAATAAAAGCATAGTATGCAAATTGTCTCCTCAACCAGGAGTTGTACAGTCCGGCCAGGGGGCAGGGCCAGCCGGGGGAAGAGAAGGAGTACCCAGCCGGCAGCCCAAAGCCGCTAGGGACCCTACCAGTGCACGAATTTCATGCACAGAGCCTCTAGTGAACAAACAACATTGTAAGTAATAAAAGAACCAACAGGACCAGACCAGGAGGGTGGCAACTGAGATGAGCGAGGCACTACAGGGTGGATCCCATCTTTATTTAAAATATTGATGTTTGCCTGGCTTGCGTGGCTCAGTGGTTGAGCGTCGACCTATGAGCCAGGTCGTCAATGGTTCGATTCCCAGTCGGGGCACATTCACATGCACATGCCCAGGTTGCAGGCCCGATCCCCAGTGTGAGGTGTGCGGGAGGCAGCCAATCCATGATTCTCTCTCATCATTGATGTTTCTCTCTCTCCCTCTCCCTTCCTCTCTGAAATCAATAAAGATGTATTTTAAATGTTGATGTTTTGTTCAGCTTGGGTGTTTTTACATCAACTTTACTTTTTTAAAAAACATTGCATTGTTATTGTTTCTCTTGATGACTGATGCACCCGTGTCCACCCTCCTTCGATGGGGCCCAGGCCAGGGCCTCACTCGCCTCACCCTGGCCCAGCCCTGGGTGGCAGGGTTAGGGCTGGGGCCGCCTGCCTGCCAGCAGAGAGCTGCGCCAGGCAGAGCAGCCTCAAGGGGTTCTGTGTCAGACTCACTGTTAATTACCCCCACGGGGAAAACACAACAAAAGGTCTTTATCTGGATATAAAGCACGTTTCTACCATCTCATGTCCCAGCTATTCCCTTATCAGCCTGCTGTGAGAACCCCACCAGGGCAACTTTCACTGGTGTGTTACCACCCGGACCAGGAATTACAGGAAGACATTAATCGTGAAATAAAATGGCCTTTTTATTTTGAATTGAAGCAGTGTCCTTGGCTAAGAGGAAGCTGCCACAGACCAGTCTTGTGAAAAGGCTGGGACAGCTAGGGTTTCTCCAAAGGCTTCCCACGGTACTTTGTGCAGGCTCTGTCGTGGGGGCGGGGGGCAGATGTTAAACCAAAGTTCTGCTCGGGAAGAGAGCGGCGCCCCCTGCTGGCACTGAAGAGGAATTGCTCGTCCCCAGAAATGCTTCTGCACCAGTTTCCAAATAAGCCTTGAAATGGGTTACAACAGATCTGTCCCGAAGGGGAAGAGAGCGTGTGACAAGGCAACAATCCCTTGTCGGTGGGTACGTCGGTACGACTTCTACGAAAACAGAAATGGCAAGCGCCACCCACATTTTAAATGGGTGTCACATACCATTTGTCTGGTGCCTCCCCTGGTAGCAGCCTATCCAACAAGCAAGTCACTGAAAAACAGAGGTGCAGCCAAGGTCGGCAGCTGCTCAAGGTCAGGTGTGCCAAGCAGTTAGCTGGGTCCCTATGATCACACGCACAAGATGTGTTTGCCACAAGGCTACATTGTAGGGATACAATCACTAACGCGGCAATTCATATCCAAAAGGGGGTCAGAGTGGCACATGTTAACATCACTCGCTGACACATCTCGGCAGCTGGTAGCAGGTGGATGGATACACCTGCCATCAGCAGGGCCGGGGCTGTAGGAACACCATGTCCCAATAGCAGGGTCTGACACAGGCCGACCTCTCGCCCCCGAAAGCACTGTGGACTTGGGGACCGTTCTTGGCAGAGGACAATGGTGTTTAAAGCAAACTCCAAAGAGTAAATATTTTAAGTTTCTTCCAAGAGTATTCTTCATTTCATACTATTTTACACAGTCACACCAACAAGTTACAGGCCACAGAAACACCTGCACAGCGTCAGTATTCACTTTCATAATGGCCTTGCTTCGGAAGATCAGGAAACAGCAACGCCGGCTTTGCTGTAAGAAACCCCTTCATTCAGAGGGACACGGAGGTTGAGATGTCCTGGCCGAGGTCCCCGCTGGGTAAGTCACAGACCTGGCAACCCCAGGGTCCTGCCCAACTCCCTTTCCACTGTGTCCCTGCAACGTAAAAGTCTGACGGGACACTTTTAGGAAAGAAAAACATTAAGGGTACTATTAACATGGAAGTGCTCAAAACGGACTCCTAGCAGCTCCAGTGCAGAGCATCTTGTGAAACGGGCCCGAGACACGGGCTCTTCCTGCAACAGGAGGCTTCTGTGCCCAGATTCCGCCACCAGCGGCACAAGGGCAGGACTGGGTGAGCTTCCACCACCACCACCAGCAGCAGCACAGGGGCAGGACGGGGCAAGACGAGGTCACACTGTGGAGGGGGCCCAATGGGCTTATAAACCTGGCTTGTCAGACGGGCACCTGCAGCTCATGGTGCGGAGATTATTCCTCCCTGAACATCTCATTGCACTTAGAGAATCAGTGTTGCTACGGGAGATACATTTAAAAGTGAAAGGTTTTATACTTTCCGGTTTGAGCAAGCATTTTTGTTTGATTAACTGCCATGGATAACATACGTAGTATGATCGGCGGTGAGGGAAAACGGAGCACAGTGGGGCGACGAGCAGGGCGGTTGCCATGTGCCCCAGGAGCAGGCGGCCCTCACACTGAAGGCAGCCCCAGCTGGGCTATGTTGCTCAGGACCCAGGGGCACGGACTGCACGGAGTGGAGGCACGGATTGCACGGAGTGGGGGCACGGATTGCACGGAGTGGGGGCATGGACTGCACGGAGTGGGGGCACAGATTGCACGGAGTGGGGGCACAGACTGGATGGAGTGGGGGCACGGACTGCACGGAGTGGGGATGGAGCAGCAGGAGGCTCCGTGAGGTCCAAGTGGGTGGGTCCTGAGCATGCCCTTGACGTTTCCCCAGCAGTGACAAGGAAACAAAATCAGAATCAATGCTGTTTAGACAATTTCTATACATTTTAAATGTTCCAATTTGGGGTTTATATTGCTTCCTAGTTTATAAAATGTAGAGAATAAAACTGATTTGATGTCATTTTCCAAACCCCAACTGAAATGTGGTTCTGAAACCTAAATTTCCCTGGAGGACAGGGCCCCTTCAGGAAGCGAGCTCTCCTCAAGTCTGCACGGAGGAGGGGAAGCTGCCTCTCTTCCTGTGGTTAATCGAGGAGACGGTGCTCAACAGGTCCTCCACTCCTGGCCAAGACTGACTCCATAGCAACCAAAGTGATGCCGAGAAAGGCTGCCAGTGTCCTGGGATAAGTCACAGGACTGCATCTGTGAATGTGGCTGAAGAAAACCAAAACATTCATGGAAGGAGACCATTTCACCTTTAAATAAAAATACTTTATTCATTCCTGACAGGTTATCAAAATGTACACTGTTCACCAAGTAAAAACGGTACTTCCAAATCACTGAGCAGGGCATACTTAGAGGACGTTTGGTTAATATGAAAAGCATAAAAGCTACTTCCAACCTCCCTTTCCATACATTCCCAACAAGCTTGCACTATACCTGCTAAAACTGAACGTATGAACACTTATGTGGGCCCCAGCTCATCACAGAATGCACATTTTCATTTACACTTCAAATAAATGATTATTATACTAGAATTACCTTCTTTTGCCAAAAACTTTCAGGCTGACTTTTTGCATTTTGTATGACTTTGTAAATTACATAAAGAAGACAGCACATGACTCGTATTCACCTACACACACACACATACACACACGGGATAAAGTGCAACACAACAGGACACGTCTGGACATCCCGTGCTCGGCTCCCACGGGGGACTTTCTGAGTACTTGGGAACAATGTGTCCTCAGGGTGTGAACACAAAACCCACAGGCTGGGTGATTTATGCCTCATAAGCATATGGACAACCCTGTTCGCTTGCTCTGCCTGTGGGGGGGAGGAGCGGGGTCGCTCTCTCTCTCTCTCTCTCTCTCTCTCTCTCTCTCTCTCTCTCTCTCTCTCTGAGGGTTTGGAAGCTGGGATTCTTTCTAAATCTCAGCGCGCCCTAAGCTGTGCTCTCGCGGTGCGCGAGGACTCTGAGCTCTCTACTGCGAGAGCTTTCCCGGGACGGGACAGCGCGCCAGGAACCGGGAGAAGCAGAGTCTGGGTGACAAGAGCAAGTATTCCACTCACTTGGCAGCAATTGCTTTAGAGACCTTTGACCCCAGCCACCATACATGTCTACAGGCAAGTACCAAACTAGACCTGAAATGACAGAAGTTTTGGTTGCATGTTTTTGTGATATTAAATTATTTAACTAAGAAATGCTTTTGTTCCTGAGATGAGCACAATAAAATGAAATGAGTTCCCTCTCCAATGGCCCAGGGGACACTCTGCTCCTTAGTCCCGCCCTCATCATTGTGGAAAAAACGTGTTTGTAGTGTCAGTCTTCCCCGTGGCGCCACTTCTGGGACTCGTCTTGCCGAACATCTGGTCTAATTTGGTTTCTCATGCCTCCTAGCACGTTCGATGTTGCCTCTGTAGCAACAATCAGCGGCTTCACCACGGCTGGAGGGATCTGGCGCAGGACTTCGCCCACCGCCCCGGTGACCCCCCGGCTCTCGTGCTCTCGAGCTGCGGTCTCATAAATGGTGTGAGCCGTGTCCGTGATGCCCTGAGAGGGGAGACGGCAGAGAAGGAAGTAAATTACTAAGCCATCCTATAATACACACTTCAATACAATTATTCAACATTATGTCTGTAAGTAGACAAAAAAACCACTATGCTTTGAGGTAATCCAGGATAACATGTCCACTGAGAATGGCCCAACCCCACTGTCTGCAGGGACAGGTCTGACTGGCAATTATCTCTCTTTATTCTCCTGACCGCCTTTCTTTTTTAGGGTGATCAGTGGTGTTGCCTTGATTTACCCACTAAACATTTCTTGGGGGCCCTGCCTAGTGGTCTTCCACTGTTTGGGACCACAGCGGCTACTCCACCACTGAGAGGCTGCCTAGGTACTTCTGTGCACCAGTACTTGGGGAATAAATATTTTTAATGAAATCCTGGTAGGAGAATCGTAAGTAAAATGACCTCAAACTTTGTGTCATATTAAAAAGAATGTCAAAAAGGATTAACACAGGGAATGGCCCTGACAGCCACAGAACCAGGGCTTACTGTGCAGTGGTAATCGTTAGCAAATGTCAAGGTTCAAACGGTTACAAATCACCAATTCCACCTTCACAACCTGCACATGTGAACAAAGGGACTTATATGAACACTCTTAGAGCGGTGTTTTAGGGAAGAATGGCAAGTGTCTACCAATAGGAAAATAAGTAAACAGTGAAACACTATAAACAGTTCATATTACATGTACATACATCAACATGGATAGATCCTGAAAGACATGTTACAGATGCACATACCATTCAGGTTAACTTTTAAAATACAAACAATAGCATGTCTTGCTTATGAGTACATATTTGTATAGCAGAACTATGAAGACATGCACAGAAAAGGCTGTACCACCTTCAGGGCAGTGACATCAGGGAAACGGGATCGGGGGAGCGAGCCATCTAAGAACTTGTATTTCTTAAACAGATCTGAGGCAAATGCAGCAAAGTATCATCATGCATTGGACCCAGTTGGTGAGTGTTTGGTGTCTGTCTAGTTCACTCGCATCTGCGGGGAAAGAGAGTCCATCTCTCCACTGGATCACTGCTCTTCCCGGAGTCCACCAGTCCCGACGCCCTGTCCTTACCCAACGTACACATTTGCACCCGCTGCTGGGAGCAGCCCAAGCCCACTCCCAGGGCCTCTTCGGGATGAATGACAACCACAGAACGCTGTGTGATGACAGCCAGGAAGCACGGGCGTAGTGCTGCTTGTCCCTCCCGAGGGCCACCTACCTCCTTCACCACGCTGTAGGCCTTGGCCACACCTTCCCTCAGGTCGACTGGCTGGTGGGCTAAGCGATGGTGAGGAAACCTCCTGCTCTTCTTGGGCTCGATAGAAAGGGGGCCAGGGGACACCATGTCGTAAGCAGTCTCTGCCGCAGCCTGCCATTTCACACAAAGTAAGAAATGAGTCAGAAAAGGCACACTTCCCACAGGGACTGAGGGGAGGAGCAGAGGGACTCGCGCGCCCGCACAGTGTGAACTCTTTACAAGAGCGTGTTCCTTTCATAAGAACGTTAAGGTGTACACTCAACACTGGCACCATCTGATCGGGCTCATTTTCTCAGCTCCTCCTCTGTCCTCTGATGTCCTCTGAGGGCGTTCTCCATGACACCAGGTTAGTTGACAATGCACAGGGTTGTGGGAGCTTAACACTTCACAGAACAAACCTAATACAACTACTGTTTGATCTGCAATGCTTTCTTTACATTTAGCTATGATCTTTTCATATAAATGTGGTGAAATAACCCTTGAGTAATTTAATGGTTATAATTTACCTGAAAGAGGCAAACAAATTTGACACTGGATTCCGCTGCTTTATTCTATTAACTAGAGGCACTGGGGGGGGGGGGGGGGGCGGAGGGTGTTCCTCAGCTTGGCCTGTGCCCTCTTGCAGTCTGGGAGCCCTCAGGGGATGTCTGGCTGCTGCGGAGGTGAGAGAGGTTCCCGCCACTGCTACTGTGCTCACCAGCCGTGAGCCCGGCTTCTGGCTAAGCCGTGTTCACCCTGTGGGAGTGCACTGACCACCAGGGGGCAGCTCCTGCATCAAGCGTCTACCCCCTGGTGGTCAGTGCACGTCATAGTGACCGGTCGTTCCATCATCGGTCCAAACCCAGCTCTCCGATATCCCCCGAGGGGTCCTGAATTGTGAGAGGGTGCAGGCCAGGCCGAGGGACTCCACCAGTACCTGATCGAGGCCAGGGAGGGACGCAGGAGGTTGGCCAGCTGGGGAAGGGCCGTGGAAGGGTTCCAGGGCATGTCCGGCCCATCTCACTCAGTACCGATTGGCTGGACCCCAGCAGCAAGCTGACCTACTGATCGGAGCATCTGCCCCCCTGGTGGTCAGTGCACATCATAGCAACCGGTTGACCGGTTGACTGCCCCCTGGTGGTCAGTGCATGTTACAGCGAGCAGTTGAGTGGCCTTAGCATATCATTAGCATATTACACTTTGATTGGTTGAACGGCTGACCGAACGACCAGACACTTAGCATATTAGGCTTTGATTATATAGGATTACTTGACAGTGGATAACTAATAAAAAAAGCATGATACTATGAATAAAATAGCTTTTCTCAACATTTTCACAATATCATCATAAAACAAAATGGAGGAACGGTTCTGTAACAGCTCGTCCTTCTGCATAGGTTCAGGCAGCCTATGGAAAGGTACCTGTATGGTTTGAACCATCCTGTTGGTGAGTTCCAGGGCAGCCATGGCTGTCGAGGTGCCAAAGGAGGCAGCGCCCCTCTGAAACCCTCTGACGATGCGGCCATCCTTCCGGTACTGCTCTATTGGCAACCAGACCAAGTCCTTCAGGCCTTGCACTAGAACAAGTCAACACGGAGAGGTCAACAGCGGTGCTGGAGCTCAGGCCTCGGCTCCATTCCAACCTGGGGTTTTTAACCCCTGAAATGGGAAGCACAATTTCGTGTGTATGACTGCAAATATAAGTTTTCTAGAAAGATGGTTCTGACACAGACTCTCAAAGGCATCCATAACCCAAAAGGGGTGAAGAACCACTGATGAGGTAAGATAACTTATCTTCTGATTAAAAAAGAAAACTCACCTAATTGTACTAGTGAGTGCATAGGCCCAACACCTCCCAGGATTCCTGGTAGCTGGTTCTTCTTAATGTCAGTAAGCCATTCAGTGATTGCATAGGAGAATAATTTGTCAACACCTAGCAAACTAAGCAAATGACTGTTAGTATATAAGGAGAAAGATGTATAGCTTTAGATATGTCTGGGGAATTTTTGACTTAAGATAAAAGAAAACTGACTACAGCTTAAGGATAAAATATTATAGATGTTCAATCTGAATATATACATACATATAAATATAAATAAATGTGTGTGTGTGTGTTGTGATGTTAATAACTCCCACAGGCTTAGGTAACGTGTGTAAGTATGTTTTAACACTGCTCTTATTTCTTGAACATCTAAAGCTCCGGCATAGGATTAACTCAATGTCTACAAATTGCCACACAGTTCTTAGCTACTTAGTGAACTTCCCGATTTCACTAAATAAGCTGATTGACAACTTTGGGAAATTATTACAAATAATCATAACGATAGCTGTTTTTGAAAAATACTATTCTGTTCCAATTATTTCTACTTTCTCTGAATAAAACCTAGCCCTGGTCAGTAAGGATCCTCTGAAACTAAGCTGTCTGCACACAGTGCTGTCCGTGACCAAGGTGAGCATGCTGCTGAGAAAGCCCCACTCATATCTGCTGTACTAACGTGGCGACCACAGCGTAAGGTCTCCCTGATGAGCGGCTCACCCGTGCCGATAGAAGAGTCTCTTCAGCTTCAGTTCAGAGCAGTTCAACTGGGCCAGACCAATCAAGATCCCAGCTAGCGTACCCTTAAAAAAAAATAAAGGCCACATTAGTCTGTAAATTGAGAGACTCGTCATTTAAAACAGTTATTGTCTGGGAACGTCAAAGCAATATTCACTAAGGAAGCTAAAACAAAATATTTACAGCAAAACAACACATATTTTATAATAGGTAGGACCCAATTTATATCAATTTTTACTCATGGGGTCTCAAGCAAATGGTATTCAATTTATTTTAAAAACAATTACACTTTAAAATCTTGCACTTTCATATATAAAACTATGACAAAAAAATTATTTTTTTAAAAAATTGAGTCCATTAGAAAAACAAGTGAGATAATTTTGTGGAGAGTATATTTATACAAAATTTCCAAACCTGATCCATTGATACGTGTTTGCCATGATAATCAAGCCGAATAGGAACTTCTGATGTGAATCTGAATTCTCTGAAGATAAAGGAAGAAAGGGATATTTATATTCAAATTACTAATAGTTGAAATTAACTATAAACTAATTTGTTCAACTGGAGAATAAAAACAAAACCACAAAATGAATAAAAGAGAATGACTTTTAGCATTATATTTTCTTAAAACATAACTAACCCAAATGTTAATAATCTTATAAATTTTATTTATTTTATTATATTTAAAATTTCTCACAAAAAAACTTTTCCTAGTTTAATAGTGTTCATCGTAAAAAATTTTATTCGGGCAGATATTTCTCAGTGATATAGGATGCAATTACGGGCAAGTCACGTTACCTAAACATTTGAGTCTAAATGTCTTTGTAAATAAATTTTCAAAATGCCGCCTACACTGGTGAATTTTAGTGAGCATTCCTGATATTAATGCTTGTAAGCAGGATATTGGAATGCAAATATTGGGAATTCTTTGAGGATAGAATTACACACTGATGGCACACATCAAACACAGAGAGCTTGCAAAGGCTGAACTGCAAACAGACACTGGAAACACATGTGTTCTACAGAATCAGTGTTGGTGATTATACCCTAAGCCATCCCACAGAGACCACTTAACCTCAGGAAAATGAAAATGCTGTATTCACATCATCACCACAAGGACATCTCCCGTCTTCTGACTACTATCTCCATTTCAACACCTGCCTCCTCCTCATGTTTTTTCTCCATGGCACAAAACAGCATCCTCTGGTTATTTTTAAGTTCATTTAAATAGGGATTTTTCTCTACTTTGTTCACTGTGCCTAGAGCCCTGGGCAAACTACGGCCCGCGGGCCGGATCCGGCCCGTTTGAAATGAATAAAACTAAAAAAAAAAAAAAGACCGTACCCTTTTATGTAATGATGTTTACTTTGAATTTATATTAGTTCACACAAACACTCCATCCATGCTTTTGTTCCGGCCCTCCGGTCCAGTTTAAGAACCCATTGTGGCCCTCGAGTCAAAAAGTTTGCCCACCCCTGGCCTAGAATAAAATGTAGTATATATATAGCAAATATTCAACAAGTACTTGTTGAATAAGTAAATGTTGAATAAATGTTGGGGAGAACGTATTAGACCAGTGGTTCTCAACCTGTGGGTCGCGACCACTTTGGCGGTGGAAGGACCCTTTCACAGGGGTCACCTAAGACCATCCTGCTTATCAGATATTTACATGACGATTCATAACAGTAGCAACATTACAGTCATGAAGTAGCAACGAAAATAATTTTATGATTGGGTCACAACATGAGGAACTGTATTTAAAGGGCCAGGAGGTTAAGAACCACTGTATTAGACCATCCTTGGAAAGTGCACTGAGTTTGGGATTAAGACCCGTATTCCAGTCCTGCCTCAGCCACTAACTGTGTGGTTTGCGAAAGTCAACTCACCTCCCTGGGTATTAGCTTCCTCTTTTCCACAGTGAGTAACTGGACTCTATCACTTATTCCCATCCCAGGGCCCTGGACCGTCTAGGACAGTGGTTCTCAACCTGTGGGTCGCGGTCCCTTTGGCGGTCGAAGGACCCTTTCACAGGGGTCGCCTAAGACCATCCTGCATATCAGATATTTACATTATGATTCATAACAGTAGCAACATTACAGTTATGAAGTAGCAACAAAAATAATTTTATGGTTGGGTCACATGAGGAACTGTATTTAAAGGGCCAGAAGGTTGAGAACCACTGCTCTAGGAGCTTTTGAGAGTAGAAATAGAAATCTATAAGCTATTTGACACAGTCTAATGGAAAAACAAACATTTCCTGGGTAAGTAAGGCTACTTACTATACTGCAGGAAGCCACTGCTTTCCAATACTATCATGAAAGTGCACCATGGAACGAGGAAGGCTGATGGACCTCGAGCATTAGCAGGGCTGACGCTAAGCACCGATTGTTCGTGCTGAGATAGTGGTGGCTCAAAGCAATTTCCTGACCTGAGAGCCTTCAAGTAAATGTTTACTGGACCTTACTAATCTTTACTGACCTTAGAGACGGTCTGTCTGCTGCCTGTTTGCCGTGCTTTACTGAGGGCAAGATGTGTATCTAAAACTGAATAAAAAGCGGATAAGCCCAGGTCTCAGCGTGTCTCTTCAAGAAAGAGGCTCCTCGCCGAAACCGGTGTGGCTCAGTGGATAGAGCGTCGGCCTGCGGACTGAAAGGTCCCGGGTTCGATTCCGGTCAAGGGCATGTACCTGGGTTGCGGGCACATCCCCGGTGGGAAATGTGCAGGAGGCAGCTGATCGATGTTTCTCTCTCATCGATGTTTCTAACTCTCTGTCTCTCTCTCTTTCTCTCTGTAAAAAATCAATAAAATATATTTAAAAAAAAAAAAAAAGAAAGAGGCTCCACCTGGCCCCCAATGCCTTCTAAATTCATATTTCTTGTATAGGATTTTCATTTGTGCGTCGGCCCCTTCTGAACCCCGCCACGAAGGTCGCGGCATCTGGTGCCATGAAGAGGGACTGGAGGAGAAGATTCGCCTGAGCGAAAAACGAAGTGAGAAAGGAAAAGCGGAAATTCACTGGAAAGGTGGGGAGCTCACCGCGCACAAAGCCCGTGCCAGCTTCGGAGGTGCGACTGGAAGTGGATGGGGACGTTTTTAATCAGCCAGGTTATAATGGGGAAGAATTCGAGTAAAAGGCAAAAACATCATTGTAAATTTTTAGCTTGCATGCTCAAGGATAAAGGAATTAAGGTGTCAAAAGGTCCTCTCTTAAATCAGGCTCAAGGAAAACGAGTGCCCTGGTCATCTTTAACTAGGTGGGCTCTTATTTGACTGCATTATGCCCACTTCGTATTGGGGATCAACAGTCTGTCACACCTAAGGCCCCGGACCCTCCGCCTCTGGTGGGGGAGGCTCCCCAGCTGGAGAAAATGGGCAAACAGTCCTTTCACAAAAGGGCTCTGATGCTCTGACAATCACCACCTGATGCCTCAGGACGGGCAGGTTTTAGCTAAAACAACTCTAGATGCCAGTCAGTGCTGTGGAGAGCAGGACAGGGTGAGATCTGTGAACAACAGGCTGAGGTCTGGGCCGCATTCTGGCTGTAAGTCCCAGGCCATGTGAAACATCGGGAAGATTCATGGAAAGAGCTCTAATTTATTGTCTTGTCTGTGTGTTATGCGTGCTTGTAAATATCGTATATATGAGTGTCTGTTAATTGTTGTTTTACCTGTCTTTGTTGTTTGGTTTAATTTGTTTATTGTTAGTCTATTAAGCATGCCTTTAATTTATTTTAATAGAAAAGAAACAGTAAATGGCCAGGCCACTACTAAATTTCCCCAGAGCAAACAGGATGGGGTGGGGAGAGAGAATATGAGCGGTACACGTGGCCGATAACACAGGTCCTAGGAAAATTCCCTAGACAAAGGGGGGGTAACTAAAGAAGGCCCCACCCATTAATTACCAGGTCTCTTAGTGATCCTGTAAAATGGACGCCCACTCTCTGGAGTTTCTTAAAAGTCCCATTTTTGTCATGGTTTTGTTTCCCAGTCCCTCATTTGAAATTTGAATAAATAAGCCATTCTCACAGTTTGGAGACTTCTATATCCATGAAGAGAAAAAGGCTAGCTTAAGAGAAGGTGCGCCCCGCCCGATTTTGGTAGCCTCTTAGCCTAAGCCCCATCTCTTCAGAGATGCTATAGAATAGGCCGCAGACTGTTTTTCTTTGGGAGATGGTGAAAATGACACAAGGAAAATTACAGGCTGGGTTTGGGCAACAAAATTAGTGTTTCCATAATAATGGGTAGTTCTTGAATAATAATAGACCACATTCTAAGGTTGCCTCTCAGGTCCTGGGGGCACTTGTTTTTATAAAGAAAAATAAAATAAAATAATACTTTATCATTAAAGCCACTGAAAGCCCGTAAGTTATCTCTGTTACAGAATTTGCCAAGGAAAATGCTTTGGGTAATAATTGGCTTTAAAATCTCAAAGTTGTTAAGGCAAAATATATATAACTAAAATGAAGAGTATATGGTAAAAAATCTTTTTCAGTGGTAATTACATATTTGTGCGTCGGCCCGTCCTTCAAATCCTGAACCCCACCGCAAAGGTCACAGCACTATACAAGTTAAAAAGTGTCAAATTTCATTGCTTTCAGTCCAGAATTTTAACAACTCAATTTCTTTTATATCAGTTATCCAGTATTCACAAAAACAAAACTGATAGTTTACATGTGATTCATATAAAATGAGAATTCAATTTATTACTTAGAATACACAATTTTTAGTAGAAAAGGTTTTTTAAAAGATCAATGTGGGAAAATAACAAGTGAGGTCATTCTTTTGTGGTGGGAAGGTTTGGAATCAACAAAGATCATCTATTCCTGCATCTTCCCAATCCTCATATTCCATTTTTAAATCTTTCAGCAGTATACATAATATTTAAAACATAAAGTCTAATCTCAGAACTCAGAGGGAAAGACAGAGTTTGGGGGGACTGATGCCGTGGGTAGGAGCACAGAGAACCAGGGAAGGAAGCTCATTGTGCCTCACAACACAGGTGGGTTGGATCTTCACTCTTTTCCTTCCAACAGAGCCAGGCTCCTCCCTACCACCAAGGGTCAGGAAGGAAGGACGATGGGGAATGAATGGGTCAGGAAAGGAGGGACACACTCCATGTGTACAGCAGGGCAGCAGTCCGAGCAGACAGCAGCAGCACAGGGACTGGGCTTCCTGGTTGTGCCAACTTAGCCAGGGAGGGCAGGGACAGGAAAGACACAACAGTGATGGGGGAGGGCAGACAAACTAGACAGAAAATTCCCATAAGGAAAAGGGGAGGAGTGTTGAAGTCGAGGTGAGTAAAGGAAAAGAGAAAAAGGACAGCACCGTGTTTGAGAACCAAGAAGCCATTTAGTGACCAGAAAGAGGGACAGGAGGAGGAAAAGAGGAAGCAGCGAGGAGGAAAAGGAAACTCCTGCTACAGAACCGAGAGAGAGATGAGCCTCACCCAGGTTACCACCTGTAAAATGGGAGACGGAGGTTGGTGGGACAGCGATAGACAAATACACAGTTGATGATTTGGCAGTGAGGAGAGAAGCTGATGCAACCTCATGACTACCCTACACAGCGTGTTAAAGAACCATCTTCACAACTCCAAAGAACTTTGTTATCAAAATTAAATGACTTACCTAAAAAACACAGGCTGGTCACTAAACGAGGCTTCTTCAGCCGCGAAGTCCTTCTCTTCCTCCCCGTTCGCCACTTCCGCTGAATTGGCACAGTCGTTTGGGGAAGGTGGCTTTGGCCCAGAGAAAGAAAGCACTAGACTTGGCTCCTTCGAGGTACTCAGGTGCCTTGGCACACTGCAGGTGACGTCAGCGCCGGGAGATTTCCTCACTGAAAGAGTAACGCGCACGTCAGGAACACTAGCTATGCTTCCGTAGAGCCCCAACATCAATCTAGCTTTAACTGGTTTTGCTACATTTCACTTAATGAACACAATTAACTGTGACAGAAAAATGACTTTCACCTTTTAAACTATTACTTTTACATAAATTACATTTGCATAATTTAATAAAAAATAAACACAACTCATTTATATAAATGAAAATGAAGACTACATAAGTACATTCTCAAAAAGGCCTCATAACAGTCAATCCAAGTACTTGTTATAGATTTTTAAGCTACATGTTTAGTACCTTCTGGATCTGGAGCCATTAGAAGCTCTACTTCTGTAGAAAGACTTGTGAAGAAATCCTTCAGGAAGAACAAGGCATCCTAAAATTGAGAGATGTAGTTACAATATTTGGTAGCACACAAAAAATTTGACTGGCAATTCCAAAGACTCTGACTGACTACAGATCACACTTGTAAGAAGTATAAATAACAAGTTAGGAGGGTGTTTTTCCAGGGAACATGGCAGATGGGACTGAAGAACAAGCAGTTGGTTTGACAGCACTGGAAATACACTCTGGTCTGCAGGAGGGTAGTGGGTTCATGCCTTGCTCATTAGATTATGCATTACACTTACATATTTTACATATTATTTATATTACATATGTTTATTACATATTACTATATATGTATGTCTCCAATCTCAAGTAGTAAACAGTTAATAGTATATGAAATGTTATTCCTTGGCCACTAGGAGGAGATATTTTCAATGCTATGTTTTTTAAATATGACTGCCTTCAAAAAGAGAAAATGAATAAATGTGCTCTTAAAAAAATGAAGACTAAGAGAAAGTGATTTACCCATTTTTACTACAAATGCACAAAACACCAAAGGGATACTAATCAAGTCTTTTAAAATGTCCTCAGAATTTTATTTTATTTTTAGTTATTTATGCTAAACTCTAAAATTCCTAAGTCAAACAACCCAATTTCGAAACTAGCAACACAGGCCCAGGCCAGGTGGCTCAATTGATTGGAGTGTTGTCCCATGCACCAAAAGGGTTGCGGGTTCAACTCCCAGTCAGGGCACATACCTAGGTTGCGGGTTTGATCTCCGGTTGGGGCATGTACAGGAGGCAACCGATTGTTGTTTCTCTCTCACATCGATATTTCTGGCTCTCTTTCTTTCTAAAGATCAATAAAGACATATCCTCGGATGAGAATTAAAATTTTTAAAAAACTAGCAACACAGAGATCTACAGTGGTTGCACCACGTAAACCAGTAAGTAAATGAGGAAACAAACTGTGGAATACCCATACAACGAAATACTAATCAGCAATAAAAATGAACAGGCTGCTACAGGGTAGCACACAGCCTACATGAATCTCACGGACACAATGTTGGAGAGGAAGCCAGATACAATTCCACTGACATGAAGCTGTGGAAAGGTAGCTGATCTGTGGTGGTGTAAATGAAGTCAGTAGTTGCTTTGGAGTGGCGGAGACTGACTACAAAGGGACATGAGTGGACTTTGTAGGGCACAGAAAATGTTTTATATTTTAATTGGTGTCGTAGTTACTCAAGTGTATATTTGTCAAGCTCTGTGCATTTATTATATGCAAATTATACTTCAATACAATCAAGTTTTTAAACTTAAAAATTTGGTTTTTTATGTATGCTACACTTGAACTACAAAATATTTATTTCTAGCATTAAGTTCCTATGATAGAAGATATTAATAGTGCAATATGACAAAGTGTTAAAGAATTACTTTTCAGGTCGTACTCAGGCAATTAAGCAATGATGCTGAAAAACCACAAATGTGCGCGCGAACTGGTCCTGCCACATATTCAGCATCGCCAGCCTCAGCTGGGCATTTACTGATGCTTCCCCAATGGCCTTACCTCTCCTCTCAGATACTGAACTAGGCTCTCATGCTTTCACAAAGATCTTAATGTGGCTGACTCCACTGCATTCCTTAAGGCCCACGCAAATGTCCCCTCCCCCAGACAGCTTTTCCTGATCACCTCTCACTCTTCCAACCGCACCCCCCCAAACACACACCTGGCCTTGGGGCCCTCTGCTGGTGGGGCACCTCATCCTAAGCTCACCTTTATCACCTGTAGTCCCCATAGGTGTTAAGTCATAGTTTATGTTGGTCTCGCCACACCACACAGAGACCTTTGGGAATAAAATGTTTATTCATCTTTGTACCCCCAGCATCCTAGTACAGAACGTGGGACGTGGCTGGCATTCAGCAAATGACTTGGAATTAATTAGCATATCTTCCTTACACAGATTTCCAGGTGGTACAATACTAAAATGAATACTAGACTAGGAGAGTCAGGAAATCTGGCCCCTTCATATTTTGGACCTCAAACTGCCTAGTTCTATAACCTTCATCATCTATTCACCCCCCTAGATGGAGATCACCCCATCTGCCTAGTTTTCTGCCTACCCCATGGGCACACGGAACTTTAGAGGCAATTGCATGGAACTCCATCAGCAATGCAGCTTTTTATTTTTATTTTATTAATATATTTTTATTGATTTCAGAGAGGAAGGGAGAGGGAGAGAGAGATAGAAACATCAATGATGAGAGAGAATCATTTTGATCAGTTGCCTCCTGCATGCCCTACACTGGGGATCAAGCCTGCAACCTGGGCATGTGCCCTTGACCAGAATCGAACCTGGGACCCTTCAGTCCGCAGGCCGACACTCTATCCTCTGAGCCAAACTGGCTAGGGCAGCGATGCAGCTTTTTAAAAACATGAGAAAACAATGTGTTGCTTTCATACTATCTATGAGTCAGTGAAGACAAATAAAAGAGAGATATGCTTGGTAAGAAAAATATTACTCAAAGCATTATCATTCATCAACTGATTTGCTTTCAAAAGGAAAAATGAAGAACACAAATATTTGGTTTTCTATTCAGATGACCATTTGCTATCTCAAAATACGGTTTATCAATCTTAGAAGCTACAAACCAGGAAGGTTTTTTAATCAATAACATACCCCCTGAGGCTGACATATTTGTAGCATGGCTTTGTTTCCCAGGCTTCAGAGTGGGGGAATTATTCCCCATTCCTCCTCAGCTTAGTCACATCATTTATTTCCCTGACTGTCTTCTCTAAGATTAACATTTTCCCACTTTAAAATCATAATGCATTACAGTTCTAAAGAAGAAATGAAGCTCAATATTAAAGAGAAAAGTCTATTAAAGAAAATTGGGCTTGCTAAGTCTGGTGAAGTCGTGCCATAAAGATGTACCTTGCTCAAATCTGTGCTCACATGTGATTTCCACAGATGAAATTCCCCATAAATACTTCATCATATTCCTACTAGGACAATGTATGGATAAGTTAAATTAAAATATGGGTACCAAGAGGTATTATTCTCATAATGAGAAAGCATAAATCTAAAGTTCTCCTTGGTAAGTCTGACCCAGCTTGGAAGCTACAAATATTAATGAAAAGTTGTGCTAAACATCTGTTTCACATATTCTCTAAGATATGTCTATATTTTGTTTATAATATAAATATTTAAGCTTATTCCTAAGTACATTACTTACTTAAATAAAAAAATCAACATTACTCAGTCAATATTAAGTGAACAAATAATGCTACCATCCCACACATACTCTACATTCAAACCGGAGCTCACCCCAATATAAGGTATAAAAGGAGGGTTTGGCTAAGTGGATAGATCGTCGACCTGTGGACTGAAGGGTCCTGGGTTCAATTCCGGTCAAGGGTACATGCCCAGATTGTGGGTTCAATCCCCAGTGTGTGGTGTGCAGGAGGCAGCTGATCAATGATTCTCTCTCATCATTGATGTTTCTATCTCTCCCTCTCCCTGTCTCTCTGAAATAAAACACACATACACACACACATTAAAAAAATAAAAGGAGGGTTTGTTATCTTAGAGGCAGATTCTTTTTAAAGCCCCATTTATTTTCTTCAGTCGTTACATGATCTTTAACATTCTGTGCCAGGCACCAAGCGAAGCATTTTACATACACTAGTCTCATTTAATCCTCTTTGTTTAAAAAATGATGCTATATGTATTACTTTAATTTTATTAATGAAGAAACTGAGGCTTGAATAAGTTCAGTAACTTAGCCAATGCCACACAACAGGTAAGAGAGAGCTCAGATTTAAACCCAGGTCTGACTCCATCCCTATGCTCTTCACCACTACACTGCACCGCTACAGAGCATCATATTGTTGTATACCTTGAATAAAGTCTGCAGAAGAGGCACCAGCTATGTTTTTAACAGCAATTCGTCCCAAAGCAAAACCTAGAATAACTTGATGGGATGCTTGTTGGAATATGGGAAACAGGATTTATGTCTTTCCATGAATCTCTGTCGTCTGTGACCTGTTCAGGTGCCAATTTACTACTTTGTCATTTTACCCACGGCAGAGGAACTGTCTTCCAGGTGCTGCGAGTAAGACTCAATCCTTTATATCTTTCAATCATATCTCAGGCCTTCCTTGAAGACTCTGAAAACACCTGGACATCTGAATGCGAAGTGTGTCCGTAAGAATTAGAATGAGAAGCAGGTTCAAGGGCTATGTCATGCAGACCCTGAGATGGAGACTGGGGATAACATCTAGAACGATTATACACCAACAGTTCAGATTCCAAAAGCCTAATAAACCTGCCCTGTTCTTTACCAGCAGAAGTCTGTGTTAATTACCCAACTTTCATAAAGGTTAAATAGTAAGCATTTGATTCTTAAGTCTCTCATTCCGAATGTGGGATGTGTATTTCACCGGAGTTCCATGAGTTATGAGTGTGCCTACCTGGTCGATATTGAGGCGAAGTGGCATCAGTGACACTCTTAAGCAGCACTCCTGAGGTGACCTGCCCGACTCTGGGCGCACGTGTAATGCTTTCACTGTCAACTACAAGATAAAAGGGAGAGAATGTCCCCAATGATATTAAGACATTGCTCTCATTTTAAAAAAACAAAGGAAAAGAATTATATTCCTAGATCAGAAAGTGGAACTATTTACCCTCTTTCCTTAAAGCCTGAATCAAACTTTTCTGGGTCACACACTCCCTCAAGAATCTGATGAAAGATACGGATGCTTTTTAGAGAGAAAAAAGCACATGGTACTACTGTGCAGTCTCAGGAGGCTACAGGCCCCGGCGCTGAGCCCAGTCCATACTCCAGAGCCAGCTCCACGATGCTTTCACCCAGGAGTCCTCACTAATCATTTCTGCTCCACTACGCTTTTTAAAGTGTTAGAAATCTGAACCCTTCAAGCAATCCTAATTACTCTGTACAGATTGCTATGGACTTCCGGTTTCCCTCAGCTATCATCATGTTGACAAATTTAGAGAATGGACCCTAGAAGTGACAAGCAAAATAATTTTTAAACCATAAAACTTTAAGCAGCATATTTAAAAGGGGTTTTCATATTAAATTGGGTAAAGATACCTGGTAATTTTCCCCAATCTAAATCTTCTGCAGTTATCTATAAAATAAAAGCCCAGGACAGTTATGGTGGAATGACCAGAATGACCGGTCACTATGATGCGCACTGATCACCAGAGGGCAGATGCTCAATGCAGGAGCTGCCCCCTGGTGGTCAGTGCGCTCCCACAGTGAGAGCGCTGCCCAGCAAGAAGCTGGGCTCATGGCTGGTGAGCAGAGGCGATGGCAGGAGCCTCCCCTGCTTCCACGGCAGCGCTAAGGAGCGGTGAGCCAAGTGGTAAGAAACGAGCAGGCGGGCGGTAAGGAGCGGGCGAGCCACGGGCAAGCCAAGTGGTAAGAAACGAGCAGGCAGGCAGTAAGGAGCAAGCAGGCGAGCGGTTAGGAGGGAGCAGGCGGGCAGTTAGGAGCAAGGGGTCGAACATCCCCCGAGGGGTCCCGGATTGCGAGAGGGCGCAGGCCGGCCTGAGGGCCCCCCACCCTGCACAAATATCATGCATCGGGCCTCTAGTATATAATAAAAACACTTTTCTAAACTTCAGATAACAAAAATATCAAATTTCCAATCTTACCATGTTGGAATGAGCTTTGCGAGGCATTTCCTTGCTGCAATACAGGTACAAGAACTTGTTCATCTGTGACGTGGCCAGCCGGTCTCGAATCTCAAGGTCCTGCACGAGGAACACCTGCCGGGAGACTGGGTGCTCTAAGAGGCTGGGGTCGCACTCCGGCTTGCACGGTGGGTAGACCTCATGCTGAAACTTCACCTTCACAGACAGGAGAAGGAACACAGGGCCATCTTGACATTTTATTTAAATTAGATTTTCTCTTTGCAATGCAAAATATCACTCATCTCATTCTTTGAATTCTCAGCTTTCAATTCCACTTTCATGGAGTGTACCGTTCCTTCATTTATTTGCTCACTTAGGTACCGATCTGTATGTTCCCTATACACAAGGATAAGCTTGACTTGACATTTCTTTTTTCTTTTTTAAATATATATTTTATTGATTTTTTACAGAAAGGAAGGGAGAGGGGTAGAGAGTCAGAAACATCGATGAGAGAGAAACATCGATCAGCTGCCTTCTGCACACTCCCCATTGGGTATGTGCCCGCAACCAAGGTACATGCCCTTAACCAGAATCGAACTTGGGACCCTTGAGTCCGCAGGCCGACGCTCTAGCCACTGAGCCACACCGGCTAGGGCTTGACTTGACATTTCTTATGAGACCTTGGCAAAATCCCCATCCTTCCCAAGCCAAACTCTCAAGAGGAATAAGACATACAATTACCCTCTTGTACTCATGAACTTGCCTGCAAAGGAATCAATGACAGCAGGTTCAAGTTCCAAAGTGGGCAAGGATACAATTAAACACATGGAATTGGCATCATTCTATCTCCACATTAAGCACCCTAATATATGACCCTCAGTAAAATCCCAAACAAGCTGGCAGAATTAAATGCATATGAAGTCACTGGGGGCTTGGCCCCACTGTGTGGGTCTAGACGTCCACAGAGGACCTGACGTGTGCTACCCATGGCAGGCATCCCCAGATAGAGACTGCAGGCATGGCTCCCAGTGTGGTCCTGGGAAAGCAGGATCAGAATCCCCTGAGAACTCATTAAAAATATCTATTCAAGGGCCCTACCTCAGCTCTACGAAATCAGAAACTTTGGGGCCCAGCAGCCTGTTTTAATAAGCCCAAACGGGGGTTCTAAGGCTTGCACATGGGGGAACGGGGTGCACTGAGCCCTCGCTAATGCTCCCACTCCCGTGGAACTTTCCCTTCAAAATGCCATCTTACCTTGCTTAACTGTATTTCCATTAAAAAGTCATGATTTCTTCCTTTGCCCCCACATACCATATTACGTCCATGTCTTGTGGGCGTGTGAGAAGGTGAACTGTGGGGACTACTATAATTGAAAAAGAAAAACCTTTTGTTACAGGAATATTCAAAGAAAGGTAATGAATAACCACAGAAAAATAACAAGCTGAAAGAGAGTAAGATACACAGCTGTCAGTAAGATAACACTGCCACACACTGTACAACTATAAATCAGAAGCACAGCTTTTATACTTTGCAGACACTGTGAACATGCACTTTACTGTACTGCCCTGACGGCAATCGCCTGCTAGCTAAACAGGAAAACCTAACTATGATGCTGGCGTTCACATCACAGGACAGACTTGGAAATGAGACTTCCTTATAAGTTCCTGGTCACTTCAGAAACCCCTGACAGTTAGAGTACCAGTCCTAGAAATCCCAATGAATAGACAAAGAATTATAGTAAATTCACAAGTGTTTAAAAATTACTTTTAAATACAGTCACTACACTGTTGTGCCAAGGTTACCACCTCCTGACGCCTTTTCTCCCCCGCCCTCCCCCCAACCCATGAGCATGCCTGCCCGCTACCTGGTCCTCTATGCAGTTCTCTAGCTCAACCAAGTGATGCATCTGTTTAACAAGGACTTCGGAAGCATCGACGCCATTGCGTGCCGAGCTGGGTGCTGGAGATTCAGGGGCGTGCATGGTCCCTACCTCCTGGTGCACACACTTCACTGCCCTCAGTTGCTCACACAACTCTCTCTCCATTTCAAACCCAGGGCAGGGTCGGATCACACTCATTTTAGTGAATGTGCCCCTAACACAGGTTCTGGCACATGGTAGGTGCCCAAAAATTGCTCACTGGAGAGCACTTAAGTCACCACATTTTAGTAAAAATACAAACACTGCACGTAAGTTTACAAAATGAAAAACTCTAGCACTACCATTTACAGAGTAATACAAATTGCAGACTTTTAATACTACTTTATTAATAATTCTTCAAATGATAGTCCTGCCAAACAAACTGACGTAGAAATGAATTTCACTTACATGTAACTTTTAGCTGGAGAAGTAGGAGGGGCTGTTCCAAAATCCTTTCCTCCATAAAGATGCCAAACAAGAGAGACTTCTTTAACAACATACCGGACAACGGGAACGGGGAAGTGCAAGGGGGCTCTGCTCGCATCTGTCTTCTTAACGGGCAGACTGAAGTAATTATCTCTTATCACAATTGCATCTTCAGCCATTATTTTTACAACTGGCTCTTCTTCCTTCTCCTGAAACAAAGAAATGGGTAACACATACTGTCTTAGCTGAGTAAAAAACCTCTGATTATGCTGCCTGTCTCAAAGGAATGTACTGATCTGCATCCTTTCTAGTGATTTTAATACATAAAACAGAATAATAGTCCTGACATTAATCATCACAGAAGATATTCTGCATTATTAGCCAAAAAGTGGACCCTCTGTTCTATGCAAAGTACTCCATAAGGATTTTTTATAATCTATCATTTGGCTTTTACTATGTGACTGGCAATAAAGAGGCAGATATGTGTGTGTGTGTGTGTGTGTGTGTGTGTAGTTCTTTAATTCAAAGTCAATACTGCATTCCAAATCTGACCTACTTCGACATCCTGACCAAATTATCATGTTCTTCATAATGAGATTATCATGAATTTGATTGCTTTCACTTTTTTTTTAATTCCCCAGAACTTAGTCAAATAAATACACTCACCTACTAAGTTAGTACTAGGCAGTTTAAAACATATATGCACTAAATAGTGATGCATTTTGAATGGGGTTCAATTGGTTAGCACCAATGCTTAACCATTCTGGTTAGTGAACTGTGGATTCAGTAAAAGCAGTCCATGCTTTTTAAATGTGAGCATGACTCTAAAATGGAAATTATATCAACCAACCACCAGCCTTCACACAAAGCACATCTGTTGGACTAGCAACTCTGTGCAGCACCCCTTTCTGTCATGAAACTCCCCAGCCTTCCTACACATGACATCTGTAGTATAATTAACTATGAAGGAGATTTTGCAAATATAGAGCATTCTTCTCTGAGTCCTTGAGAGATGTGTCACAGAAATAGTAAAGCATAACAAACATTTACATAGCATCAATAGTAAATTACAAAACAAAGTAATTCCGAACAATAAAAAGTTAAAATCTTAATCTTTTGGGGTCTTTGAACAATTTGATTTTTAGCGCTATCTTAAAGCCTCAATTATGCTATCAATTTATTACCTGAACGGTTGCCCTTGGTGCAAAGAGAATGCAAAAGTCATCGTTTTCAGTGGACACCCCTGGCACTGCGTCACTAATCAAGTGGGGGGTGAAGGAGGCATAAGTGGGGCCAGGCTCCTGGGACACATTCCCACTCTCATCTGGAAACAGGAAGAGGTCTGAACAACATGGCTCCTGAATGTGACATTTTTCATCCAAAACACCTAGGCAGAAAGATGACAGCATTCAGTTTTGGCACATGCTGAAACATCAACAACAACATAACAAAAATAAGCATTTTAACCATGTGTCAGAGACGCAGTATGTTGAATGCTTTCACCTGCAAAATCTCACTTTTTTCTACAAGTCCCCTCTGGCTGCTGACAAAAAGACTAAGAATAAGTTTGAAACTCCCTAAGAAAAGAGTAAATGATGGGCTCATGAAGTGCAGTCTCCTCCTAGCTATCTGTGCTGGAGGAGCTCAGGAATTCAGCAGCAGCGGTTAGTGATGAATGGAGTTTGGTTTTAGCCAGAATCTCATATTGACAATCCTGTCCTGTGGGTAGAGCTCTGCAAGAAACCCATTCGACAATATTGCAAGAGCAGGGAAGCGAATGTACCCAGCAACGTCACCTAAAACTACAGGTACTCTTTGCTCATGGAGGAGTGGGAAACAGCAGTCAGGTTGGCCTCCAAGTGACTCCGAGCCACAAAAAGACGGCTTCTTGGGGTGCTGGATACCCACACAGGATACCTGTTCTCAGGGAGCTCTTGGTATGAAGTTCACAAAAGAGTGCATTTGCACCAAAATCTCTACATAAACATACATTTTTATACGATTCATTTCATATTAGATTCACCAAGTCTTTCTCTATTCAGTTATTCAAATCAATAATTTACTATGGACTGAGAACACTAAGATGGATAAAGGGACATTTAGCTCCTAGAGACTCACAGACTAGACTTTTAATTCTTCTATGGCAGCATCTTGAACTTACACCTCCTTGAGTGCCTAGTACAGAACCTTGTATATTGAAGCTGCTCAGTCATTAAATATCCATTTCTACATAAGGTCAGCTGCTAACGTTTATTAGAAATGATGTGGTGCTAGGAAGCTGAGGGCTCCCATTTGCCTCCTTAGTTCTAATTTAGAATGAAAGCAACATTTAATACTAAAGTCTTAAAACATCAAAGTAATTTTTAACAATTAAGAGTTCACAACATATAGAAATAGTTAAATTCGTCCAATCAGAAAAAAAAATATTTTCCAGAGACATGCTTCAAAATGTTTAGATACGTCCCATCTGGTTCCTCCTCCTTGCCTATCCAACTTTATTGTTTAACTAGAGGCCTGGTGCACAATATTTGTGCACTGGGAGGGGGGGAGGTCCCTCAGCCAGGCCTGCGCCCTCTCTGTCCGGGACCCCTCAAGGGTTGTCCGCCTGCCACAGGGAGCGGGCCTAAGCTGGCAGGCAGACATCCCCCCAAGGGGTCCTTAGCACTCCCGCAGAGGCAGGAGAGGCTGCTGCCACCGCCACTGCACTTGCCAGCCGTGCCCGGCTTCTGGCTGAGTGGCACAGTCCTTGCGGGAGTGCACTGACCACCAGGGGGCAGCTCCTGCATTGAGTGTCTGGCCCCTGGTGGTCAGTGTGCATCATAGTGACCTGTTGTTCCACTGTTTGGTCAATTTGCATATTAGGGTTTTGATCAATTTGCATATTAGGGTTTTATTCTATAGGATTCTTTTCAATAAGAGGGAACATTTGCTACATAATAACCTGAGCTGCTAGGTAAGCGGGGCTCCCCCTGTCTTTGTCCGTGTCTCTTGATGTTAATGATCTTGCCAAGATACCTTCTCTCTCCCTTTGACATACCTAAGTCCTATCCACAGTTTGAAAGCCAACTCATCGCACTTTCACTGAAGTCTGATGCACTGATTCCAACCCGTTCCGAACAACATTTACAGTATGTATGTAACACCCTCTGAGGTATTTCTTCCCACGTTATCATTTCTGAACCACTCTGCCTGGTTTAGTGCCAATTTGCTTCACTAATCTATAAGCTTCCAGGAAACACGGCTCTGCCTCCACTTGATCTGCACCCCCCACAGCATCCTCGTCGGTGTTATTTATCTACTAGACACTCAATAAACAAAGCTGACTAATAAACATCCACCAGAACTCAGACTTGTTTTGTCTTTAAGGAGTTCCTTGTTGAAGAATTTGTAGGAGCACAAACAGTGTAAGCCTCGATGACACCACCAGGGCTTCCCGGGGAAAGCCTGCCGGCCTTACCATTAGACTGTGGTTTCACGGAGGAACTGGCCTGGTGCACTTCAATCTCCTCCATAGCATCGCTCATCAAATCTCGTAAAATCTGTTGATCTGCTTCAGGAAGTACAGGGCCTCGTGAGGACGGCCGACCACCGAAATCTACCTACAGTCAAAGAAACTAATTAAAAATAACTGAAACTGCTCTAAAAAGCAAACTATTTAACATTCTTTTGTCCCAGAAATACACTACATTTTACAAAAACACCAGCAACAGAGACATATTAACTTTTCAATATGCTGCCCAGAAGTGGCTCCATTTTAAGTTTTTAGTATCATCATCCTCCCTCCCCCCACAACTACTTGGCATCACCTCAAAACCAACCCAGGGAACTGGGATTGTGAACAGGCAACACAGGAGAAGAGAGAGAAGAAGGGGGAAAAGTGCCATGAAGCGGGGGTGAGGGGATCTCGCTCTGTAGAGTCTGATCTGGGCTGCCAGGGCTTCCACGCCTTCAAGACAGTCGTTGTGGCTCACAGCTCACTTCTTAGAGTGAATAGATACATCAGGGCAGTGGGGCATACACAAGAGGGAAATCTCCCAAATGGTGCTTCATGGGTTCAATTCCAGCCCTGATACTTAAACATTTCGGGCCACGAGCTGTGGATTCACTAAATCCACACCATGCTTTGAAATGTGAGCAAGACTCTAAAATGGAAAGATCCTATGGCAATTATCAGAGGAAAGGGGCGTGGGTGGGAGGGGGGAGAATAGGGTAAAGGAGAGATAAATGGTGATGAAGGAGATTTGACTTGGGGTGATGAACACACAATACAATATACAGATGATGTATTATAGAATTATACACCTGAAACCTATGTAATGTTATTAACTATTCACTTCCCTGCTCTTGTTATTTATGTCACCCCAATAAATTCAATAAAAAAGTAAAAGATGATAATAAAATGAAAAGATCCAATTTGAAAGGGACAATTTAAAATAACTTTTCATGAACTGGAGAATGTTTCCATGGAGAGTCAACAGTAGAGGGAGTGCTGTAAGTCACTTATTAGCAGTAAGAACAGCGCAGCAGGAAGGAATCAAAGTGGCAGTGTAACATGAAGAAGTGTGAGATGGTCCTGAAGGAAGGAATGCCAGCCAGCCAGCCCTTCCAGAGGCTCCTAACCTAAGGGTGCTGAGGACTCTGTTCACAGAAGAGGTATGAAAACACAGTGGAAACAAAGAAAGCCAGGCAAATGGACACTGTTCAATCTGGACATAAAAGAGGGCAAAGAGGTGGCACATTGAACCAACAGAGCTTAGCTGTATGGCTGTTTCTGCTACTAATTATGGCAAATCACCTCAATTCTCTGGGTCTTGTGCATTCACCCGTAGCAGATACTAATCTCGAACCTCTGTATCGCACTGGGTTAAATGAAATCACCCGAGAAAGTATCTACACTGCCAGCCCGTTTCTAGTATAATAAACACAGGAGATGATATTATGTGAGTGCCGCAGTCTCCGGGTAATAATCTGTTTTCTCATAGCACTCTGACATGCTTGCATATAACAAGCTCTAACATGACACATTTTTCTTTCTCTCCCCAGGACAGATGAAAATAACAAGTTAAAAAAAAGTGTCATGTTGGTTGAGAAGATTAATAATGCTCTGAAACAATATCAATTTTCCAAAAAAGTCCATGGAAGCCCCATCCTCTGAAGGTAGCGAATAGATAGATGACTTTCCGTTTCTGTTCTGCCTTATGCCTGTCGTGAAGGCCGTGCTGATGTAAACATGCCATTCGTGAGGCTGGAACGGGGCAGAGGGAGTTCGTTCTAACAAATGGCGCTGCCGACTGTACCGTGGTCTTTCTTTGAGGGGCTCCTGCCTTCACCTCCGCCTTGTTGGCTGCATGTAAGTCGCCATAGCTTGCAATGTACTGAATGAGATTCATTAAAGCAGCACAGGAGTCTGAGCACGTCCTGATATGGACAACATCGCTGGAACAGTGTAACTCAAAGCGTGAGTCAGTCTGGACACAGCAGAGGAAAAAAGGATGAAATGTTTTCCAAACAAGAGGCCAAATTTTCCTTTTTTGTAGTTTTACATTAAATAAAATATAACAATTTGTCTTATCAAAGGAAATGTGTACTTATAACTCAGTCTTCATTTTAAAATATTGTATCTACTTTTTACCAAAATTAGGGTAAGTGGAAAAAATAATTCTACAACAAAGTCAATGCTCTTTCAGTCCCTCCTATAAAAACAAGACAACTAAAACTTCCAATTATTTTAATAACTTACTTTCTCTCCATCAGAATCAGACTTCACTGCAGTTATGGTTAATTCTAAAAGCCCCATATCCATCACACGAACATAATCTAAGGTTTTAAAAAGGAATTAACAACATGTTTGAGTATAGCTTTTTAAAAATGCTTACCCAACACCTAATAAAACTAGCATCTCTACAATTCATGGCAGGCAGTGCTAAACATATTTCTAATGTAACAGAAATATAGTTCATCCTACAAAAATCCTATGACTTATTTTAGTTAGAAACAAAACTTGTCTTAGAGTATATATAATTTGATGCACTTAAGGACATTACAACTTCAAACTGATATTTAATAAAATCCTTAGTTCACTGGCATTTTTCCAAAGTTAAATGCTTTAAAAACGTCACACACAAAGAATAAAAATAAAAAAGCATTCCTCTATTCCAGATTTTGCTTTTTCACTGTTACCTCTATTCAGATTTACAGTGACAGTGTTACACTTGTCAGACAGATGTAAAGCAGCTTCATCCAAGATTATTCTGAGGGGAAAAAAGATAAAGTCAATATCTAAAACACTAACCTCAAATATATGCACTTGATCACTATATATGTTAGTTGTATCGTTCTTTCTGACATAAATATTATCAAAGTCACATACAGCTTCTAACTTATAAATGTCATGTCACATTTTTTAAAAACTCGGTGCCAGAAATATTTAAATGGTGTAAAAAATGGGATTAAATCATCTGCTCAAATTAATTCTGAATTTTTTTAATAGATGTCCAAATTCACAAGTTTTAAATTATGAAAATGAAGTGTACCAGGTATTATGGGAAGTTTATATATCTACTTTAAAAATTAAACTAACAATCTCGAGAATTATTTCCTCCCTAAAAATGAAATAGAGTAGTGAATAGAAAAGGTGGGACAAGCCCTACCTAGCCAGTTTGGCTCAGTGGATAGAGCGTTGGCCTGTGGACCAAAGGGTCCTGGGTTCGATTCTGGTCAAGGGCACAAAACTTTGGTTGCAGGCTTCTCCCCAGCTTAGGCCCTAGTCAGGGCTTGTGCAGGGGACAACCAATCAATGTGCTTCTCTCACACAATATTTCTCTCTGTCTTTCCCTCTCTCTCCCATTCTCTCTAAAAATCAGTGGGAAAATATCCTTGGGTGAGGATTAACAAAAAAGAAAGAAAAGGAAAGGTGGGACGAATCATCTGAGAAAAAACTGAAAACGGGGAGAAGGGACATGACTATTAGTAAAACAATGCTGATTTTAACAAAAAATTGAGAATCTAATCAAAGGGTTTAGATCAAACAGTCAGGATGTTTTGAACAGCTGCATTTAGTGTACAAAGAAGTTCACACAGGTACCTGAGCGTAGAAGACGATTTATCCAAGGCAACACTACTTGAAATGCTGAATGTTTCAACAGTAAGAAGAGATCGGATTGGCAAGTGAAGAGGCCTACCACCAAAAAGAAATTTCAGAACCTCAGTCTGCTGCGACAACAGAAACTCCTCTTAAAGAGCATTTTGAGGGAAAAAAAAGAGCATTTTGAAACTTAATTCTACTGAATTATGCATTTTCCCCAAAACTTAGTACATATTTTAAATAAAATTTTATTTTGTCCCATTTATGAACTAACCTATAATCAAGTGCACAGCTCCAGAGATGAACATGAAAAGTTGTAAGCGAAGTTGGAGGATTATATCCCAGGACAGGCTCATCAGCAATGTTCAGGAAGTATAAAATCTATAATCACAAAAATATAAAATTCCCTGCTTTAGAAGAAAAAAATTCAAAACTAGAATTTGAAATAAAAAGGCCCATCCAACAACAGCAATGCTACAGAAATCTTAGGAAAATTATATCTTATGAAACTAATAAAGTATGTATAAATTGCTTTCACATTATTTTGTTTGGAACAGGTCTTGAAAAAAATTTTGTTTTCCTAAACACTGCTTAAAACTGTCCCATCTGGTTTTCTAAATAATCCATTGCTACAAGAAGTTCTTTATCCTTAATTTATAGCTGAATCTGAAAACCAGTCCCTCTCACTAACATCTTTTCTCACATATTTCTAATCTAAGAAAACAAGGTGAGGCTAAATCTCTCCCTTATAGCCAGTTCAGTGCTCATACTAACCATTTCTCTACCCCGACTTTACAGATGTAGATAAACAGATATAGATATACATATTCTAAATAATATCTCCTCATGTTTCTATACATAGGTAGGTAGACTATCTTATTTCCTATATGCTTTTATTAAAAAAGTCTTCTAAAAACATTCAAGTTTTAAATAATTTATTATTTTCCCAGCACACAAAAAAGTTCCCCTTTCTAAAAAAAATGAACAAGAATCAGTACACTATTTTTTATCCTCACATAGAGTTAACTTCTCACCCAAAGTTTCCTGTGAAAAAATAATCAACTATATTTCATTAAGCATATACAATTATTAAACTGGAAATTAATTACAGAAATTCTTATAAATCCCTCTAGCCATGTTATTGACTTAGAGAATAATTCTAAAATTATGGCACTTAAAGGACACATGGCTATACGTGCAAGTCAACACATCCTTTATTGCTCCATGTGCCAGGCGCTCTACAGGTGCTGGGATGCAGGATCCCTTCCCTTTAATGGCATAAAGGATAACTCTGTTTGAAATGTTTAGGGACCAAACTCTGAGGTAAAGGATCAATCACATTCTGGAGTGCTGACAATGTTCTATTTCCCAACCTAAGTGTTTGCTTCGTGATAATTCACTGAGCTGAACATTTGCGGTCTGTGAAATTTTTGGTACGCATATGCCAATATAAAATAAAAAAGACTGCCTCATACACACAGCTTCTTACCTGCTCGTGCCAGCTCAGCCCGGAAGGGAGTACTCTGTGCTGGAGAGTGGCTCCTTTCAGCCCCACAGCGATGAGAAATTCCTAAATAGCAGCACAGAGAGTTACACTTACCACCTGCACACCCTTTAGTTCAAAAATTGAAGTCTTCCCAACAAAATAAATGTGTTGCCTTTTATGAAATCACTTTAGCGAATAATCAAACCAATGGCAAGTATTTGGTATAAAAGTATAAAATACAGACCTTTGTATTGGACTCTGATTTATCAGACAGTATTTTAACAGCAGCAGAGAGCATATTCAACGTGTCTCCTCCAACACCCTCTGAAGAAGCTCTACTGAGGCCATTTTCTTCAGAGCAATAAATGGTAGGTTCCAACCAGTGTGGGCGTGTGGCACTGGGCAGCCGTACTTCTGTAGGAAGAATCACTCCATCCACTATGCCTACATCCAAAGGGAAGTGAAAACATAACAAAATGATTACTTGAAATTAGCTCATAGACTTCTGTAACTGAAAACAAAAGCCATGTACTTCCACTGAATACAACATGATTCTGGTGGCAAAATGAGCAAGAACCGACTTGGCATTAATGACCCATCCCTCTATACCAGCCATGGGCAAACTACGGCCCGCGGGCCGGATCCGGCCCGTTTGAAATGAATAAAACTAAAAAAAAAAAAAAGACCGTACCCTTTTATGTAATGATGTTTACTTTGAATTTATATTAGTTCACACAAACACTCCATCCATGCTTTTGTTCCGGCCCTCTGGTCCAGTTTAAGAACCCATTGTGGCCCTCGAGTCAAAAAGTTTGCCCACCCCTGCTCTATACTAATGTTCATTGTTCATATGCCTGATAGTACCCAACTTCAAAAAAATTACGCTTTAAAATGCTAGGATAATTAAACTTAAATGGGAAAATCTGGTAAACGTTAAGAACGTACAAGTGCCCTAGCTGGTTTGGCTCAGTGAATAGAGCGTTGGCCTGCGGACTGAAGGGTCCTGGGTTAGATTCCGGTCAAGGGCATATGCCTGGGTTGCAGGCTCAATCCCCAGTCGGGGGCATGCAGGAGGCAACTGATCAATGATTCTCTCTCATCATTGATGTTTCTATATCTCTCTCCCTCTCCCTTCCTCTTTGAAATCAATAAAAATATATATTTTTTAAAAATGTACAAGTATCTCATGTCTATTTACAAGGGAACACAGGAAATGTGCTCAAAGAATGGTAAATTCTGTGTCTGTTACCAAAAGGAAATACTGCTTGAGAATAAAGAATGCAAAATCCCATCAATTGCCCTAACCCATTTGGCTCAGAGGATAGAGCAACGGCCTGCAGACTGAAAGGTCCCAGGTTCGATTCCGGTCACGGGCATGTACCTTGGTTGCAGGCACATCCCCAGGGGGAGGTGTGCAGGAGGCAGCTGGTCGATGTTTCTCTCCCATCGATGTTTCTAACTCTCTATCCCTCTCCCTTCCTCTCTGTAAAAAATCAATAAAATATATTTAAGAAAAATCCCATCAACTGATCAAAAATAGATAATAAGATATGGTACATCCACAAAATGGAATATCATTTGGCAATAAAATGAATGAAATACTGATACACCTCGATAAACGTTGAAAACATAGTACCAGTCACAGTACATGCTAATCATATATTGTATGATTGGTCCATAGATAACATCAGAAATACATCAGGAATAGACCCATAGAGACAAAGTAGAGTAGAGGTTGCTCAGTGCGGGGAGATGGGAGGCTTTTGGGGGAGTTCTAGTTAAAGAGTTCAGTTTCCTTTGAGGGTAAGGAAAATGTTCTAAAGTTTATTGTGATTATGGTTATACAACTCTTTGAAATATTAAAAACTACTGAAATTTATACTTTAAATGGGTGAATTGCATATGATATGTGAATTATATCATATTGCAAAAGAGAACAGTCAACTTCTAATTCACAATAAGTATTACTTTGCCAGTGGAATCAGAACACCCCACAGAAATCATTTCTAATATCAGAGTTGTGTTCTCAATAGATTTTCATTATTAAACAAAATTTGAAGATGTCTAAACAGAAATGAAACACACACATATTAAAATTTGTCCTACCTTTGTGGTACAGACTGAAGGTGCTGGAATGAAGGCAGATGTAGTGCTTGTCATCGAAACCTTCATATTTTGTCACACAAAATAACGTGCCACTACTGAACTCTAACCAGAATTCACCATGCTTGTTTTCCAAAAGATCTCCATTCTCTTGCTAATAAAAAGATGGGAAAACACGGATGTCATTATTTAATGCAGAAGCCCTGGGAGAGAATCTCTCAGGTTGCAGCCAAGTGGCCTGACTCGTAAGCCACCTGACATGGTGATGTGAAAAACTGAACAAGTACATGGGGCCTCTTCTGTCAAAGAGCCCCTGGACTCCGCCTCCTTCCAATGGACAAATGACTAGTTATCATCTCGGGAGCAGAACAAGCATGTTTCCCACAAGAAGGTGTAGATAACGTTTGCCTTCTGAGCTGCACGAAAGGCAGATGTCCAGAGTTGCTGTCATCGTGACCTGCCTCAGAAAGCGGGCTTCTTCAGTGGCTGAAACTACTCCCAGCTCCCTCAATTACAGGATGTGTTATCGTGGCAGACTTAAATAAGGTGCACTTGAAGGAACACTTGATATTTGTAAATCTTTACCTTTACGTCTGTAAACACCGACATTAATCCGTGATTAATACTCAGAAGAACGGAGAGAAAACTCTGCGAGTTCTTATTCTGAGAGTCGAGTTTTTTTTTCCTACGGGAACGATAGTTGGGATCAAGAGTAGAAAAATACTGCAAAGTCTCCTCCTCTGATCCACTTTCTTCATCTGTGAGAAATAAGGGTCACAATCACATGGTTCTGACAGCTTCTTTAAAAAACTAGCAACCTGAACATTATCATAAGAATATTTATTTTACAACCTGTTCCTTTTTACTCAGAATCTGGTCTGACAATAAAAATGTCCATGCTGTGTTTTTTCACTTTACCACTGAACTTCAGACAATGCATGTACTATCACTATAAAGATATTATCATTAATTAATAACAACATTCTCAATATGCAGAGAGAGGTGGGGAAATATAAATTACTAAAAGATATTATAAAATATAAATGAAAAACATCATCAAAGAAACATTTTTTAATCCATCAACTGAAAAGGCTACTACTTTATTGCTAAACTAGGCAGTGACATCCAAACAAATGTAAGACATATTACCATAGTGAACTGTAGATTTAAATGGACTAAAACTGTCCTTGTTAAAGGTATTGATCAGTTGACTGGCTACTGACAGCCCAATACCATACGAAATATTTTCAAAAGTCTCCACTGGTGAAGGAGCTGTTGGTTCCCACAGCAGCAAGTCATTGAAGATCCTATAAAGACAAAGCTGAAAAATAAGTACATAATTCCTAGTTCAACTAAAGGCAAACTAAAGAGCATCCCTTTAACAGATCGCATGAATAAGAATTTTCTAACTGCTGAAACAGAAATTAGATCTTACAAAAGTTTTTACTTAAATATCAATTATGTTCCTAAACTGGAAAAATAACAGACATGGCTATAATTTGTACCATTAGATACCTAATTAGGTGCCGGCCTACTTTTACCTGTGTTACATGCATTAAATTACATACATCTAAATGCACTTTAAAGAAGGAAGTTAAAATTTTTTTGAGAAAAAATGAGAACAGAAAGAAGACTGTTCACACACGAGAGCACTCTGTGAACTTTAACAGATCATGCATTGCCTCACTTGACCCTCCCACAAACCCTGTGGGCAGCCAAGGGAGACTCCTTACTCTCACTCTACACTTGAAGAACCTGCCTCATAGAGGCTAAGTGACCTGCCAGAAAGCAGATTCATTGGGAAAATCACGTGAGATGAAGAATGCATGCGGAACAGGGAACAGAGAAAGGAAATCTAACTAGCAGGCGAACCAAGTCAATACTGGTGACTAATGGGGTGACCGATGTCAAGCTAGGCTACTACAAGACCCTACCTTTAAAGAAATATCTGTCACTACTCACATGTCTTTCTGCCCTTACCCTCCCCTCATCACCCATGTCTATGTGTCTTCATGCAAACAAAGGCTTCGCAGCAGCGGTTCTCAACCTGTGGGTCACAACCCCTTAGGCAGTCGAACGACCCTTTCACAGGGGTGGCCTAAGACCATCCTGCATATCAGATATTTACATTACGATTCATAACAGTAGCAACATTACAGTTATGAAGTAGCAACAAAAATAATTTTATGGTTGGGTCACAACATGAGGAACTGTATTTAAAGGGCCAGAAGGTTGAGAACCACTGCTTCACAGTGTCCTCTAAGAGGCTTTTTGTTAGATTTGGACTTGTAGCATCTCCTTCACACACACGATTCAAACGCAGCCCCTAGAACATGTTACTGTACTTTCTTGTTTCCTGGCAGTAGCCCTCGGAGAGAGGGGCCTATGCCTTGGTCATCTTCATCCATGCCCAGCACAGTGGCTCTCACAGAGCAGCCAGTGCTGATAAAGGGACCAGTGTGTGACTCACAGGGAGGGACTGCCAGGGGCAGACTCATCGTAAAGCCTAGTGTGAATTCCAAGCAAGGTGCCAAGCGATGAGGTAGCCCTGCCCCTTCCTGTGAGAAGCCACTTGTCTAGGAACTTCCCGGGCCGATTCCCGAGCTTCTGAAGCCCTAGAGAGTATAAAGCAGGACTGAGCGCTGTGGCTCACCGGGACTGGAGTCCCCACCCACAAGGACCCTTTCTGGAACATCTCTAGGTGGAAGACACGGGATAGAAGGCAGAACTATGGCTCAGACACACTGAAACTGCCCCACAACTGTGTGGTGTCCATCTGGCTCATGGCTTCTTGGGCATATTTATTAAAACAAGAGTTTAAATCCAGTCTTATCTAAACTCCTATATGTATAAATAATGAAGTGAATTTTCTCAGGAAATGGTCTTCCTTTCCTTATTCCCTACAACTATTCTCTTATCGTCATAAAGAGAAACTATTACTTAAAATAAAACCTGGTGTTCACAGTATGCAAATAAAACTTCATAAGATTTTACTATTTTTCTTATTTATATTTTGGTGGTGTTTTTAATAACAAGGAAGAAAATATGAGATATTTAAGGATACTTCACCATGATCCTGTGGCTATGAGCCTGAGATATAATAGAAGCTCAATAAATACTTAATAAACCCAGCTAGACTCTTTTTTATATTCTATTCTAAAGGGCTATTAGCACAGAAAAAATTCTCATGTACCGCAGACTGACACTATCTTTTTTAAAAAAAGCTAGTTGACCAAGGCACTAAATCAGTGATGGCGAACCTATGACACACGTGTCAGAGGTGACACACGAACTCATTTTTTTGGTTGATTTTTCTTTGTTAAATGGCATTTAAATATATAAAATAAATATCAAAAATCTTTGTTTTACTATAGTTGCAAATATCAAAAAATTTCTATATGTGACACGGCACCAGAGTTAAGTTAGGGTTTTTCAAAATGCTGACACGCCAAGCTCAGAAGGTTCGCCATCACTGCACTAAATGAACAAACCAGTATTTTAAATGTATGAAGTAAAAATAAGCTGGTTATAACTCCTGTTCAGAGAAATGTTTTTAAATATTATATATGTTATATATACATAGACATATATACACATGTGTGTGAGGGTGTGTGTGTACATTATGGAGACCCTGGCAAATCTTGAATGGGATCTGAGGACTAGATGTTAGCAATGTATACTATATATGCCCTCGTTTTGGTTGGTGAACTGTGGTTATGAAGATGTCCCTGTATGTGGGAAATATACACTCAAGTGTCAAAGTTGAAGGGGCATTAGGGCAGCAATTTACCCTCAAATGGTTCAGGGAAAAGCTTTTTCCTATACTTGCAACTTTTCTGCAAGTTTAAGAATGTTTAACATTTTAAAAAATATTAATTTTTAAATTTATAAATATATACAAAGCCAAATAAGGGGCAAATAATTCACACCCAAGGAACTTCCACGTGTGACTTACATGATCCACAGGGGGGAGGGGCACTTGGTGTTGACCTAACTCTAGGGCCTGAGAGGCCAAATGGGCAGAGTAAAAGAGAACAGAACTCTCCTAAGCAACCCTCATTGAACCCACTCCCACATGGACAGGTCCTCTGGAGCTCCCTGGTTTAAGCAAGTTCTCTGACATGATGATGGATGTCCCACATGCTGACTGCTGGCTGCTGGGACAGACCACTCTCTAGCGCAGCTGAGAGCTACTCCCACCAGTTGAGCCCTATGTTTTGTCTCTTCACCACAGGTCAGTGGTGTTTGGCCTCAAGTTTGCTCATCCCAGCTGGGTTTATTATTGTAAGGATAGTTTAAATGTTGTGCTAACTGATGACTTTTAAGTATACAGACTGAGGTGGAAAAACTCTTAAAACCTGGAAGGACTCTGCACTCAAATTGTTTTGAAACTATTTTTTTTTTCACTCCACTTCAAAGAAACTGAAACTGAAAATTGTAGACAAAGCCTTCTGGGTACACATTATGCAAAAATTCCAACCAGTGAGTCATACTAAAAAATAAGCCTTTTCCTATATTTAAAAAGAAGTGGTAAACAAACATATATTTATAAATTGCAGTTTAAGGCATGTATCACTGTTCTAATGTCCCAATTTAACCAACAACCAATTAACACCGAAAGAAAAAAAAGTGAATTAAGCCCTTCTGCCCTCTGTGCTGGGCTTGAGCTAGTCATTTCACTGTGCTTGGGTTAGCCTTGCACACTGCAGGCTCTCAGGAGACATTCCTCAAGTATAAAATAAGAACAGTCTAGAGATCAATAGTTTGATCTTCAGATCATCTGTAAACCCTAAGTTAAAAAAATTAGGAAAGCTCCCTCATGTGAATTTATAAGTTACATGCAACTTTTTATAAATTATGTATATTATAAAATAAATATAAAATATAAAGTTTTAACGGTTTTTTAAAAATTAAATAGAAGCACTCATATTTTCTTCCTATAGTCAATGGACTATCCTGTGAATCTCATCTTCAAGACAACTGAACTACAAAGGTCATTCTGAAACTTAATTTTCTGATTCTAAGACCAACAGTCCCGGTCACTGGTAGTCAGAACTTATCATTAACAGTTCAGGAATAAAGGGCCAGTGATATCTGATACCAAGCAAATCTACAGCTGAAACAACAGTGTGAAGTTTCTGAAGATGAACGGAAATTAGAACCACCTGCTTCCATTTGGGAAGCTAGTGGTGATGGACACTAAGACGTCTTCTCCAGAACCCCACGTGACCACCTGCAGGTATACTACAGAAGAGATTCCCCAGTGGGAAGGGGAACAATGACATCATCATCTAGAACCCATGTGACCACCTGCAGGTACGCTACAGAAGGGATTCCTCAGTGGGTAGGAAGGGGAATAATGACATCGTCATCTAGAACCCCACATGACCACCTGCAGGTGCACCACAGAAGAGATTCCTCAGTGGGTAGGAAGGGGAACAATGACATCATCATCTAGAACCACACGTGACCACCTGCAGGTGCGCTACAGAAGAGATTCCTCAGTGGGAAGGGGAACAATGACCTCATCATCTAGAACCCATGTGACCACCTGCAAATATGCTATAGAAGGGATTCCTCAGTGGGTAGGAAGGGGAACAATGACCTCATCATCTAGAACCCACATGACCACCTGCAGGTGTGCTACAGAGGGATTCCTCAGTGGGTAGGAAGGGGAACAATGACAGATGACTACTGAGTGCTTTCTATGTGCCAGGCACTGTTCCCACAACTTCCCAAGTCTTATACCATTTAATCCTCCCAACAACCCGCTGAGGCCGACACAAGTATCACCCTCATGTACAGATGAGGAAGCTGAGCTCATAGACGCTAGGTAAATTGTCCCAAGTCTTCATAGTCTATGACCTTCAACCCTAGAATGCCATTTATTCCAACATATTTTCTGGGTATATATGTTTAAGGGGCTTTAAATATATTTTAATTTTTATACAGAAGTGTATGCTACAGTTTATCATTCTAACCAGACCCTGTTTTGGACTTTGAGAAGGGATACTTCTGAAACAAAGACTAGGATTCTGACTCCACCCCAGTACTGCTGGCCCTCTAGACAGGAATCGCCCAGCTCTTTTCCTGTCATGGCACACACAGAATGGGATTTGCTCAGTACCTACGGTAAGTGACAGACGGAAAGGGAATAAATATCTCACACACAAGTAAGGCAGTTGCCAGACACACTGGCTAGGAAACTGCTATGATGACAGCACACCATAGAGTAAGGGTTCTATATCAGCACCACACCAAGTTCACCGAGGCAGAGATAATATTACAGCAAGGAAAGAAAAGGGAAGCAGGGAGGCAGAAGGGCAGTCAGGCAAAAACATCCATCCCATTCAACAAATGTGTTTCACTCACCTATTATAAAGCTTCTCATAAAAGCTTCTATTAGGTAGTGTCATGTGAACATTGGGTAACGAAAGTTCCAGGACATAGTGAGAATTGCTGATTGCTTTATCCTGAAATTCTGTCATTTCTACAGGGTCTCCTGGCATCACCATCTAAAACATGACAGTTTAGTAAAAAAAAAAAAATGCATTAAATAACCACTGTATGTTTAAAATAGTAATTGCTTCTTACTCTAAGCAGAGGACTTGGTCTGTCAGCAAATAAATAAGCATGTGACTTTTTGTTTTAACCACGGGGGAAACAAAAATATGATTCCACCGAGGAGTTGAACACCTAGCACAAACAGTGTGCTAAGTATTTTTTAAAGAAAAAGAAGTAAAGCCATTAGTACATAATCAAGGATCATTTCTTCGTGGCTTGCTCCCACTTTTACTTTACCTGTTCATTTTCAAACATTACTCTACGAGAAGAAAAGGGAGAGGGGGCGGGTCTTCTCAGATCACACACGTCTTTCAGGGAGTGAGCACCGCCTTCCTCTTCTTCCTGGTAGTGGCCATCACTCTCCTCTTCTTCTGCTGCTGCTATTCTCTCCAAAATGGAATGCATGGCTGGTGGATTTATTTTCAATACAATTCTGATACCAAGGACAATTTTAAAAATCAAGATCCATGTATAAACTGCAAAACTTTAACTTTTATGTAAATTAATACAAAAACCACTGACTGAATCATTAATGGTGGATTCACCTTGTCTACAAAGTCTAATTATATCTAATCTACCCCATTTCTCAGCGTCTTGTAAACTTTAAAGTATAGAATTGATAAAACAAGTAAACCAAAGAGAGGGATTAACATGTTATTCTTACTAACTGAAAATCTGACCTTTTGAGGATACAAAGATTTGTTTTTAATTTCACTAAGAATTCTATTTATTCTCACAAACCCTAATTATTCTGCACGCAGTCTGTTTTGCCATTATGGAATACTTGCACACCTAGGAAACCTTGTGTTCATAAAATATGTTCAAATGGAGGAGAGACTGACTAGGGAATATTATCAGAACTGCAACCACCAAGTCACCTTTCCTTTAGGATTTTCAATAACAAAAGGACTGTGTTCTCCTCTGCTGGCCATCACCAGCACAAGGCTGTGCAGTCTCTCCTTTGTCACCACATCAGCCCATTGTCACGATGAGGCATGCCCCCCAAACAGGACAGGCATCTGTGTCCCATCCAGAACGGCCTTTTCTTTTTTACTACGTATGTAGGTGGTACAGTTGGCTCTAGTTACAAAGTTTCACAACTATTTAATTTATAGTTATCCTAACGGAAATTGTGCTTCCAAATTATGTAACTGAAGTAGATCCATTTCTTATGATGAAAACTCATGCTCTAAGCTCCTGCGGCTTTTCAGGCCTGTACTGATACTAGTAATGTCTGTCCTGAGTCTGACAGGTCTGATACATAGGTGGTGGGGTGTAAAACAAGGCAGGAAGGAAAATGGCACCAAAAAGATCACCTTTAGCGAGGCTTCAAATACTTCCTTTTCATAATAATGGGTCATTATTTCAAGTAAATAAGTTATTTTAAACATAATCCAAGCCCACTATCAGGCTAATTTAAACTAATGAATGGTCGCCCAGTCTAAGGGATCCTGAGGCTGTGGTTCTCTAAGTCCAACTGCACACTGGGATCACCTGGTGTGTCTTTTAAACTACACTGATGCCCAGGCTCCAGCCGAGGACCCCAGGGTGGGGCCCAAGAACCAGGATTTTGTAAATGCCCCCAGTTTTGAAAAACACTCTCCCAAAGCATCAGTGAGCATAAAGTTCACTTGACGACTAACAAATGGTGCCCTAGGACCTCTCTTCTACTGCAGCCTTGAACTATTTTTAACATGGCCAATGACTCTCTGGTTCTTCCACTTAGACCAGAGAGCACATCTTATGCTTCCACCTCTCACAGTACCTAACAGACACTTTCAGAAAACAGCACTTAAAATACATTTTTTATTTCATTTGTCCATCTTCCTCTGGGTTTTCTCATCAAGGATGGATAGTTTTAGCTTAAATTTAATAGCCAAAATGATGGTTTAAAAAAGCATAGTAATTTTTTTAAAGGAAAATCTCATTAAATGTATGTATCATATCCATCTGCTTACTCACCGTGGCCAGTCAAAGTCATCTGACGATGTTGTATCTCCATCTACTCCACCAGACACGTGGAGAAACTTAATAGATGGCTCTCCTTTATCTTCCTGGAATGACCCTAATAAAACAAGACTGATTAATCAAAATGCATGTCTTCTCAAAGAGCTGAAAGGTGCTGTCCTCCTTAAGGGAGCAAAGATTCTCTACATCAGAAACATATGCAGCATTAAGTTCTACAGCATTTATTCATTTGTTCCTATTTCTTGTGTACATGTTTCTTGGGAGACAGAATGAGCAGTAAGTTAAAGATGCTGTTTTTCCATTCAAACTCAAAATTCTACGTGCCAATGTTTAATGAATAGTAAATACAGCAGGTACCACTGAGTGCCACTGAGTGATTTTATTGTTCATACAAGTTTATACAGTTAATTTAGGAACACAGAGTAACTATATGTCTTAAATGTTGATTTTTGTATCAAGCACTGTAAGAAGTACCTCTATTCACAATAACGCTATAGATGTCTATTCATTCCATTTTAAAAGGAATGACTTTCCTCTAGAATAATGAGTCTCTTACCACTGGAGATAAGAAAATATTAGGTAACCCCTAAAGGCCCTTTCATGAAATCATATTGACAAGAGTCAGTTTTAAAGATCTCTAAGAATGTGTCAAGCTCAGAGAGAAGGGAAGGGAAACTTTGCAGCCTATTCCCCTAGTGGAAGGTGAGCAGAGAAGGGGTGTGGTGGGAAGGTGAGCAGAGAAGGCGTGTGGTGGGAAGGTGAGCAGAGAAGGCGTGTGGTGGGAAGGTGAGCAGAGAAGGGGGGTAGTGGGAAGGTGAGCAGAGAAGGGGTGTGGTGGGAAGGTGAGCAGAGAAGGCGTGTGGTGGGAAGGTGAGCAGAGAAGGCGTGTGGTGGGAAGGTGAGCAGAGAAGGGGGGTAGTGGGAAGGTGAGCAGAGAAGGGGTGTGGTGGGAAGGTGAGCAGAGAAGGGGGGTAGTGGGAAGGTGAGCAGAGAAGGGGTGTGGTGGGAAGGTGAGCAGAGAAGGCGTGTGGTGGGAAGGTGAGCAGAGAAGGGGTGTGGTGGGAAGGTGAGCAGAGAAGGGGGGTAGTGGGAAGGTGAGCAGAGAAGGGGTGTGGTGGGAAGGTGTGATGAGAAGGGGTGGAGTGGCAGAGGGGAGGTGTAGTGACAGAGGCAGGTTGTTAAGGAATCACACACAAAAACAAACACCAAAAAACGTCAAAATCACCCATCCTGCATTCTTCATGGACTCGATTCACTCTAAGTGTGTGTATATATATATATATATATATATATATATATATATATATATATATACTGACAAAAGCAAATACAGAAAAACTTAAAACAGGTTTCACAAAGGAAAGTCACGAGAGAGCGCAGCATGATGGTAAAAAGCTCAAGCTCTAGTGTTAGGTGTTAGACTTGGGTCTGAATCTGATGCTGCCACTTACTACTGCCTGACCTTAGAAGGTCCCTCTACTTAAGTCTACAGATTCCCCGCTTACAAATGACAAAAATGATTGGGAATAATAAGCCTACATGATTATGATGATTAAAGGACACAGATAACACGTGTGAAGTGCTCAATGCATTTGCTAACACAGAGTGGTACTCAAATTCTGGCTAGCGTGCTGGCTGGTGCTAACGATGTAGACACTGGCACTACATTCCCCCGGAGAAAAGAAGTATTTTAACCAAGCAAACAAATCATCATGCTTAGTAATTTCTTTTCAAAAACTGACTTATCTCACATAGGAGAATTTTTGCTAACACATCTCCTAGGGCAAGAGAAACAAAGGAAAAAATAAACAAATGGGACTACATCAAAATAAAAAGCTTCTGCACAGCAAAGAAACCACCATCAAAATGAAAAGGGAACCCATTGTATGAGAGAACATATTTGCCAATGATAATTCTGATAAGAGGTTAATCTCCAAAAGATATAAAGTACTCGTACAACTCAACAAAAGGAAGATAAACAATCCAATTAAAAAATGGGCAGAGGACCTGAACAGACACTTCTCCAAAGAGGGCATACAAATGGCCAAGAGACATACGAAAAAATGCTCAGTCACGAATCATCAGAGAGATGCAAATTAAAACCACAATGAGATGTCACCTCACACCTGTCAGAATGACTATCACCAATAAATTAACAAACAGCAAGTGCTGGCGAGGATATGGAGAAAAGGAAACACTAGTTCACTGCTGGTGGGAATGGAAAACCGTATGGATTTTCCTCAAAAAATTAAAAATGGAACTTCCATTTGACCCAGAGATCCCACTTCTGGGAAAATATCCTAAAAACTCCAAAACATCAATCAAAAAGAATATACGCACTCATATGTTCATAGCAGTGTTATTTACAATAGCTAAGATTTGGAAACTGTCCAAGTGCCCATCAGTAGATGAGTGGATAAAAAGCTGTGGGACATTTACACAATGGAAAACTATGCAGCTGTAATAAGAGGATCTCTTCAGGACTGCATGGATGGACCTGAAGACTACTATGCTAAGTGAAATAAGCCAACCTGAGAAAGACAAATATCACATAATCTCACTTATTTGTGGAATCTAATGAACAAAATGAATTGACCAACAAAATAGGATCCAAAGCAATGGAGGCATAAAAAAGACTCAATGTGTGTGTGTGTGGGGGGGGGGGGGGGGGGAAGGGGGGGGAGGGGATGAGGAGAGAGAAACCAAAGAACTTATAAACTTATATGCATAGCCCATGGACACAGATAGTGAGTGGTAAAGACATGGGTGTGTGAGGGGGTAAAGGGAGAAATCTGTAATACTGTCAACAATAAAAAAATATATTTAAAAAAACTGACTTATCTTACATATTTGTATACAATACTGGGAAAAAGCTGTTATCTTGTTCTCTAACATTATGTTTTTTAATTTTATTTTTTTACAGCTGTCATATACTTTTTCATGCTCTAGGCTTCAGCAGCAGTTGTCTGTTTATAGTCTGTGCCTTTACAGGCACGTGCAATCTTACCAGTTAGTTCTCTAAAGGTAAGTTCCAATTTAATTTGTTCTGGGGTTGATCCTCCTATGAATTCAGTCTTAAATTCTAGATCTGTGAATGCTAAATGAAGAATCTCCTTCTGAAGTGACTTCTTAAACCACGGTCCTCTTTCCTGATCTGATCGAAGATCGGGTATTGGGAAACGAACAGAAAGGTTTAATGCTGGTGTGGCAACTTGTACCGATATTCGACAATTAGCAGGATTATGTGAGTCATCTAGAAACACTTCAGTGAAAGCCTTGTGCTAAAACAAAACATCAAAATATAGGCCAAATGTTAAATTAAGTAAATAAACAAGTGACATTAGTATTCAAGTACTCAACATTGCAATATGTATAATCACATTTCCTCATTCAGTATAGTACATTAAAATACAATTCAAAATAACCACTACCATATTAGTTTAGTGTAATGAAATTTTATAATCCAACTAAAGGCCCAGTGCATGAAAATTCATGTGCTGGAGGGGGGTCCGTCAGCCTGGCCTGCCCCCTCTCACAGTCCAGGAGCCCTCAGGGGCGGGAGGGGACCCTTCGATCAGGGGAAGGTGACGCCCCATCACTCCTCTGCTGCTGCCACTGCCGGCAACACAAGCCTTGGCCAGCCCTGGTTACCTGAGCCTCAGGTGGCCCTCGGCAGCTGGGGGGCTGAGGGCAGGTCCGGCCGCACCACGTGCCTGCCACCCCCCCGGCAGGACTGAAAGGATTGGGGGACTCCAGCGGGGCTGAGGGGACTGGACGCTGCCATCTTGTGGCTATGGGCACCACCATCTTTGTGATGGTGTGATGGTCAATTTGTATATTCCCTCTTTATTAGATAGGATAGCCATTGATAAAAGCCAGAATACTAGCAACATGTAAACCCTCATATAAAATAAATAAAAATAAAAGCTGAACCAAAGTGAAAACACAGTGATATATATTTCACTACAGGTTTAAAAAGAATAACATGTAAATTAGCTCATCAACAAATTCAATAGTTAAAAATCACTATAGTACCCAGTATTCAGTTTGAAGGATTTACCTACAAATATGCTACTTTAAAGACTCAATATGAATGTGAAATCAGACAAATTATGCCAATTGCAAAGGACCATCCCTGACTTGTCTTTGTACTTCCTGGACTAAGCCCAGAGCCTGGCACATCACAGGTTCTACATAAATATCCAGTAAATGACTCACTCTGTGTTCTCATTCAACCCAAGGGCATGATCCCAACAAATGGCCCTTAGAAACCAAAATACACATGCACCATTTACTCCAGCCATGTCATAGTAAAAAGTCCAAAGAACATGCCCTTCAGATAAAAGCCTGTTTCTATTCTTTCTCTAAAATGCATTGAAAGATAAAGCTTTAGTCCAGGGTGCACTATCATGAATCAGTCTCTAAGCACCCAGATTATAAAGTTCCCTTTGGTGCTAGATTTGGATTTTTAACAAAGCTATTCTTTCTCTCCCCATCTGACATTCCAGTTCTATCTCTTACTTCAGCAAAAATATTACACCTATAGCTGACAGCAAATAGAGACATTAGTCCCACAGAACTTAAAATAACAAGCAACTGGTGACAAAAATTAAAGAATGCTGATTTAATCTGAATACCATCACTAAGTGAGGGAGAAGGAAATAAAGTAAAAAATAAAATATATTTCTTTTCAACCAAAGTTATCTCTGTTCCTGGTCCTACACCTCCCAAATTCCTAATAGATTTCTTGCAAATCTGACTTATTTAATTTGCTTTTGAAAAGACACCAGCAACCAGATTTAAGTACAAGTCACATAATGTGATGCCCAATAACACTGTGAAATATGTTCCCATTTTCAAAAGTATATCTTATCTTATATGGGCTATATTTTATAGGTGGCTCAAGTACTTTGTGAAATGTGTGAGTAGCTAAAATTTTGTGAATATATTATAATCACAGTTTGTAAAATTAAGATAACACAGAAAAGGAAAGAAAATCTAATTCTATTTAACAAAATCAATACTACCAACTGGTATATTTCCATTCATTCTTTTTCTATGCATCAATTTTATTCACACCATTGTAATGGAAGTTTACTTCTTCACAAGCCTTCTTCACATTGCTGCACCATCTTCACAACCATCATTTAAAATGGGTGCAAAGAGTTTCACCCAGTATGTTTGCAAAACTTATTTAGCTATCTAATATCCAGACATAAAAGACGTCTCCATTTTTCATTATTACCAATAATGTTAATTTAAGAATACTTAAGTTCAGAAATAATCCAAATAAGCCTATGAGCTTATTAATAATTCTGATTAGCATTTGCAACTTTTGACTACTTACCAGACTAATATGCTTATTATATGAAGTATACATGTGAGATGCCATCATCTCTACTGTAGTAAGTTTCTGTGGTTGAAGCAAGGAATTTAATCTGTCCACAATACTGATATCCAGCTCACAAAATACGGGATTTAATTTAATTTGTAATTCTGCCTTCTGAGGAACAGAACTAAGTCTTGCTTGATTACCCTTTTAAAAGAAGAAAAGCATTAATATGATCACTAATAATACTATAAAACTAAGTTAAAACCTTCCATTTGTGACAAAATATATGTCAATTAAAAACTTACAGGTGGTAATCACAGAGAAAGACCTCTTACCTGGGGCCCTTTATTCTCAGAATGCTTGTAATGAAGCTGAAGACACGCAGGGGGGTGGGAATCAGTTCGTTCTTTGGAATGGAACATTAAAAGCTTAAAAACAAAGATGAAAATAAATTAAAGGTCAAGGTATGCTATAATTAACCAAATGAATTAACAGACGTGCTAACATAATATTGGGAAGAATTTTTTGGAGTCAGGAAACTTTAAGTTTTCATTGTCTCTTACTACCAATATGAATCTTGACAGGTTAGTTAACTTTTGTGATACTTAGTAGCTCACCTACAGAATGTAGGGAGGGCTCAAGTAAATAAATGCCCAAGAAACTGCTTTGAAGTAAAAAGTACATGAGGGCAAAATAAAAGCAACAAATGTCACTCTGATAGCTTAGAAAAGGGTCTCTTGGACACACTGTTAGGATAGGAATAACAACAGATTAATAATAAACAAACACAAGACATTGCACTTGTCTTCAACAGTGACTGAACAGTGCTTAGCACACAGCAGCTATTAGGTGAATAACAGAATTCTCCTGAAATTAAGAGTGCTTAGAAAATGAGTGAAATGAAGTCATTTGCCCATAACCTGTCAACTCTAAATCAAACATTTTAACAGACTCTTATTGCCATGAAAGCCATACTTAAAAATCTGCCTCAATAAAACAAATGCACGCGTGCGCACGCGCGCGCGCACACATACACACACACACACACACACACACACACACCTCTTCCTATATTACTTCCTATCCCTTAAGAAAATCACTTCTGTTCATACAATTCTTAAAGAGCAAGACAGACTTAAAGCATAATCATAAAGGGAAAGTACTTAGCATTTACCTCTGTATAGTGAGGAGAAACAGAATGAAAATCAGTTGGAAACAGGCACTCCAAAAGTTCCATTTGACCAATAGACATATCAGTACTAAAATACCTGGAAGCTGATCTTTGTCTTTGTTCATAGGATACTTTGATGCCAGTGCCTATGAATCTATAATAAGACATGAAGCAGTTGAGAGTATGCATTGGATTCTAGACTAAACAATGTGTCAAACAGTACACAAGTATTAATGAAGTATAACAATGACCTACCTATTCTGATAAATTCAAGTTGTAACTAATATTCCTAAGGATATTAACCAGAAAGATTATTTAAAATTTCCCTGACATAAGATAAAGAAACCAGTTCTGTTGACAGGAAATTATCCAGGATATATTTATTTCCCAACACCGCCCTTCCTTCTTCCACATTTTAAAATGCACACTGCAGTGGATAAAATCTTTAAAACTATAAAATATGTATGTAATAGTTTCTTAAAATTATCTAAAACATCGTGTAATATTTTTAAAAATTCAGTGCTCAAATGAAGGTATTCCTCTAGTTTTTATTGTTTTTGTTGTATTTCCTACTGACAGATATTTGAAACCTCATCAAAAACTGGAAGAGCCCTAGCCAGTTTGGCTCAGTAAACAGAGCTTCAGCCTGCGGACTGAAGGGCCCCAGGTTCAATTCCAGTCAAGGGCACATGCCCGGGTTGCAGGCTCAATCCCTAGTTGAGGGCATGCAGGAGGCAGCTGATCAATGATGTTTCTCATCATTGATGTTTCTGACTCTCTCTCCCTCAAACTCCCTCTCTGAAATCAATAAAAATATATTTTTTTTAAAAATAACATGCCCTAACCGGTTCGGCCTGCAGACTGAAGGATCCCAGGTTCGATTCTGGTCAAGGGCATGTACCTTGGTTGCAGGCACATCCCCAGTAGGGGGTGTGCAGGAGGCAGCTGATGGATGTTTCTCTCCCATCAATGCTTCTAACTCTCTATCCCTCTCCCTTCCTCTCTGTAAAAAATCAATAAAATATATTTTAAAAAATAAATAAATAAAAAATAACAGGAAGAAAAAAATGGGGTTTTTTTTGTAGTTTGTTAAAAATAGATACAATGGTTCTAACCTGCAGAATTTCTTTTGCTAAATATAAAAGCTAATTTGCATATTAATTTTAATACTTCAAAAAAGTTACTTGAAATAAAAGCCCAAAATATTTTCTAAAAACATTAATATATTGTATAAATCATTGTATTAAATAACACAACTCGATAACTTACAGGTCACTTTCATGTTAAAATAAATAGCACGAACAATACTATAAAATATGTATGTAACACATATGTATGTAATGTTAACACATTAACAATACTATACTTACAAATTTAATTATCTCTATTAGAACTCAACCCATGGAGAGATCATAGACTATTTGGACAGTTTTCTAAGTAGAAGGTGAAAATGTAGCATCAAGCTCCCCAGCCTTAGTACCATTTCCTCATGGCCAGTGGCATATGGATCATTTCCAAGTTCCTTCTAATAAGTTTATTCTACTCTCACCACCACTGCCATCTCTGCTAAGCCAGTATCAAGAACAACTATTTTTATGATTGTAATGGTGTCAGTAGTTATGATGGCATAATGTAGTCAAAGAAATTTGACAAGAGCAGGGCAGGGAGCTAAACAAAAGATAATCTCCAAACTCCAGATTATCTACAGCTTATATCTGAATAACCTGAGTGAGAGAGTCTGTGATAAACATCTTTGCAGCAGTGGAAGAAAACCTCCCTCATTCCACTCATTTACAAATAAAATGGGAATTAGAAAAACAAATGGCGTGAGGTAGATAGATAAAAACAAAAGTCCACTTTGGTTCTTTTCCAAGAATTGTTAATAAACATGAGAGCATTTACCTAAGGTGATCATGTGAGCAAGCTTCTGCAAATACCGTTCTGAAAGATTTAAAATCATCTGTTGAAAATCTCGCAGGATCTATCTTTTCTATACAAGAAAAGAAAGCTATCGCCAGAGGTGTCAATGGATTAAGGTTCAATGATGTTTCAGGTGGAGACAATGGATCAATGTGAAGCACAGAGATTGACAAAGTTCCCACAGCTAGTCGAAAAATGAGCTCAGGCCTGGATTCATCCATTGAGACAGATCTAGAGGGGAGAGCTGAAATGCATGTGCTCAAATTATACACATAAAATTTAACAGTTAAAAACAATCCATTATATCACAACTATGACATTTATTTGTGCATTCCTTTTCAAAAACAGGTGATTACACAATAGTTTGAATGATATTAAACAAGTAAAATAAAATGAACTGTTATCTTTCTGCATTTCACATGCAGGATCCTTGGTACCTGAAGTACAAAGAAGTATGCTACAATAGGAAATGTATGAACAAAGCTTTGCATTAATAAAACTGTACTGGAAAAGTCAGAGATGAACCCAAGCTGCTCACTAAATTTTCCTCCAAGCCTGTATTCTACTCCAATTAAATTTTGCAGGGAATAAACCTGAGGTTCTCTTTCAAGGAAAGTATAAACAGTGAAACAAAAATCAGATGGTTGGTTGAGACGCTTCAACTGCAATAATATGAAATTTATGGTGAACTTTTTACTAAAAATACTTAAGTTTTTAAGTACCCAAAGAATATAGGAAATGTGCAACTATATTAAACACTTCACAGTGAGTTGCTCAGCAATGCTTCATATATACAAGAAGGAAAAGAAAAGAAGCAGGATGGCATTTTTTTTAATTTTAAGTTTTTTAAAATCCTAGCGGAAACCGTCCACAACGATCTTATTTGTCACTTACAAGTCTTCTGTAGAGACGATGGGTGAACTAGGTTGGACGGCAGTATTGACCCTCTTACTGGCTGTTCTTTATGATGATCAAGGAAATCTCCCCAGGTTGGCTGAAGCTATAAAAGAAATGTGGAAAGCAGATGAATAAAATATTGAATTTTAGAAGCAAGTTTTCAAGAATAGAACAAAAATTAAATAATACTTTACCACAGTAGCACTTAAGGGAGATCCAGCTGGGGTATTTGTATATGTGCTAGTTAATGATAACTCAAGGTCCATATTTGGGGGGTCCCCAAGAGGTGGAAGAGAAGAAAGACTATGGGACATGTCCATATCAGCCATGGAGAAGAAAACTTCTTCTTCTAAAGAGAATTAAACTTTGTCAATTGTATTGTAATTCCAAAAATCTACATCTTTTAAGTTAATATACACTTAATATAGTATTCTTCTTTCAGATTACCTGAGATATAGGCTACCCTAAATTTTATGTTACTTCCAGTGAGGTAATTTATTTGGATCTAAGATATAAATGGCACAGTAAAACTCAACTGAACATAGGTCAACCAAAGGTTATGCTATACTGTTGGTGAACTTTTTAAAAAATATATGATGCCCTAGCCAGTTTGGCTCAGTGGATAGAGCGTCGGCCTGCAAACTGAAAGGTCCCAGGTTCAATTCCGGTCAAGGGCCTGGGTTGTGGGCTCAATCCCCAGTGTGGGGCGTGCAGGGGGCAGCCGATCAATGATTCTCTCTCATCATCGATATCTCTCTCTCTCTCCCCCTCTTCCTTCCTCTCTGAAATCAATAAAAATATATTATATATACACACACACATATATATATGTGTGTGTGTGTGATCATTTTATTCATCTGCTTTCCACATATCTTTTATAGCTTCAGCCAACCTGGGGAGATTTCCTTGATCATCATAAAGAACAGCCAGTATATATGTGTGTGTATATGTGTCCGCAACCAAGGTACATGCCCTTGACCGGAATCGAACCCAGGACCCTTGAGTCCGTAGGCTGACGTTCTATACACTGAGCCAAACCGGCTAGGGCATTTTCCTTCTAAAATTATTCTACTCTACATACCACGTTCTAAAGAGTTGAATACACTTTACAATCAACATTTCTTAAGTTGACTTCAATTTTCTATTTCGTTCAACATCCCATACTTAAATTGATTCTTATTATTTTGAATATTAGTACTCATACATTCTGAAACACCTCAAAATGCCAGTAAACTGAATAAAGATTATACTTAGCCCTAGCTATTTTGGCTCAGTAGACAGCCTGCAGCCTGAAGAGTTCCGGTTTCAATTCCGGTCAAGGGCACATGCCCGGTTGTGGGCTTGATCCCTAGTAGGGGGCATGCAGGAGGCAGCTGGTCAATAATTCTCCCTCATCACTGATGTTCTTATCTCTCTCTCCCTCTCCCTTCCTCTCTAAAATCAATAAAAGATATATTTTTTTAAAAAAAGATTATATTTACATATAATTGATAGATTAATAGAGAAAGGTTCCTATTTAAAGGAATCTATAAATCATTATGTGAACACATAAGAATTTGACAGATGAAGAATTACCCCCTTTAGTTCTCATGAAAATCGATATCTTTATAAACTGACTTTCCTTAGAATAAATCATGATTTATGTAAACTACACAATCAAATGATACTGTAGCATGTCACTTTAATGCTGTGGTTAGAAATTTAAACTTAGAAATTTAAACCTTACAATAAGGATTTTTTGTTCAACCCCATGTTACAGCAGCCAAAATTAAGTTCACTTTGCCCTACGATGATAACATATGATTCTGGTGTCAACTTTTTGAGTTGCTTACCACGGCTAGAAGGTGTACGAGCCGTTTCTGACTCATAAAAGCTTTGCTCTGAAGATACACCCACAGAAAGGGAATCTTTTCTCAAATAATAGCGGTTTAATTCCATCTGAATGCGATATTCTTCTTCCTGCTGCATGGGTCGATTCTTTCTATCTTTATTAGCTAAACCTAATTTGCTAGAATTTTCTACAAGTATACAAAAAGAAAAGCAAAATAGTAATTAAACTTGAAGTTACTTATCATTTCTCTCCAAAAACACACTTATCCAATACCAATGGCCACATTTTTGTAAACTGGCTTTCATAGGAATAAATCATGATTTATAAAACAAAATCAAAGAGCGACTCTATAGCACATGTACCACTGCTGTGGTTATCACTGTAATGCAGTGGTTAGGTCAACTTAGAAATGTAACCCTTCTCACAGGATCTTTTCTTCTTTTCATTACTAACTCCATTTCCCAGCAGCCTTCATATCACAGCATCGTAATAGCACTGCCAGTGTTAAACCACCTGTTTTTACGAACTGGAAATCTAAGCAATAACTTCAAGCATATAGTTAGAAATCTCAAAAATCTTATCTTTGAAAAATAAGTCACTTAAAATGTGTGCTACTTGCTGTGTTAAAGAATTATACTTTCTCAGTTGTGTGAAATACTATCATCAACCAAGGAAATAAGCCAGACAATTTTTAAAAAGATGACATAAATAACCTGAATGCTAATTTGAGCCATGGTAACACAATTTAAAAGATCCAATCAGCCCTGAGCAGGTGGCTCAGTTGGTTGGAGTGTCGTCCCATACACCAAAAGGTTGTAGATTCCGTTCCTGGTCAGAGCACATATGTAGGTTGAGGGTTCGATACCTGGTAGGGGCACCGACAGGAGGCAACTGATGATGTTTTTCTCACATGGATGGATTTTTTTCACTCTCTCTTTTTCTTTCTCTCTCTTATCAATAAAAACATACCTTCAGGTAATGATTTAAAAATAATAAGTAGCCCTAACCGGTTTGGCTCAGTGGATAGAGTGTCGGCCTGCAGACTGAAAGGTCCCAGGTTCGATTCCAGTCAAGGGCATGTACCTTGGTTGCGGGCACATCCCCAGTAAGGGGTTAGCAGGAGGCAGCTGATGGATGTTTCTCTCTCATCTATGATTCTAACTATCCCTCTCCCTTCCTCTCTGTAAAAAATCAATAAAATATATTTTTTTTTAAAAAGTAAATAAATAATCCAATTAAGTTTAACTGTTTAGAATTCTTATTTACAATACATCTTCCTTATTTACAATACATTTCACACGTTCCTCTATAAGAGAATGCCCTATATGTATGTTGTATATTTTAACTAAAAAGTTATAAAGAATTAAAATAGTAACAACAGAGTTCTACTTGCCTGGTCCAGCAATAGCTGCTAACATATCCAAAAGCAAGTGTACCTGTCTTGGAGACAGGAATAGATGAATAGAGTCTATCTGTCCATCAATATCCAACTTCAAAAAAAAAAGAAAGACAAACATTCAGGATGAACACTGTCTATAATCTTGTCACCACAAGTCCCAGTACACTTTAATACACTGAGATGGTACTGATTATTTAGTCTTGGTTTTCTTCACCTAAGATTCTCTCTACTAATTCACACAATCTACAGTATAAGATTTAACGATTGCCAAACTTGTTCTATGAGGGAAAATCCTCCTGAGAAAGTCCATGATGGCAAGTCCAATGTCATACTTTTTGTCTTAAGTTTTTAGTATTTAAGGTATTTGAAGCCTTAAGACATAGTCTCCAAGAAAGAATGTTAAGACAGCAGTAGTATAATATTCATTCCCATCATGACTTCAAAAGACTCCAATCATAATCCTTAAAGCTTGACTTAAATCAAGAGCAAATAACGTTGGCTTTCATGAGTTTGCCTGTAGGTAACACTCCTTAGTAGAGCATGTAAGAACTTTTCCTGCCAATGGTGTGCCTCTCCAAATGCCCACTGCGTTCCACAAAGCCCAATCCCGCCTGGGCATGGGAGTGAAAGCCACATCAGAAATGGCAATAGGTCCAGTCAGCGTAGCTCAGTGGTTGAGCATCGACTTATGAACCAGGAAGTCACGGTTTGATTCCCAACCAGGGCACATGCCCGGGTTGCAGTCTCGATCCCCAATGGGGGCATGCAGGAGACAGCCGATCTATGATTCTCTCTCATCACTGATGTTTCTATTTCTCTCTCCTTCTCCCTTCCTCTAATTTTTTTTTAAATGCGGATAGAAGGATGCTCATGTGGACTTTCCTTCTCTCTATTTTTTCCAGCTCTCTATTTTTTCCTTCTAAAAATAAAAGCCCTATCCCACTCTCATCCTGATTTCTATGGAGTTTATTCTGAAGAAGAAAAAATTATTCTACTCTACATACCACGTTCTAAAGAGTTGAATACACTTGCCTTACTTTTCATTCACCTCTTTTTAGTTCTAATGCAAACACTGACTCCTATTGCAATTTTATAATAAAACACTTATATTTGGGCCCTAACCGATTTGGCTCAGTGGACAGAACGTCAGGCTGCGGACTCAAAGGTCCCAGGTTCGATTCCAGTCAAGGGCATGTACCTTGGTTGCAGGCACATCCCCAGTGGGGAGTGTGCAGGAGGCAGCTGAATCGATGTTTCTCTCTCATCGATGTTTCTAACTCTCTATCCCTCACCCTTCCTCTCTGTAAAAAATCAATAAAATATATTTAAAAAGGAGAGAAACTAAGATGGCGGCATAGGTAAACACCGGGAAATTGTCGCCTCACACAACAATTGAAAATTACCGCAAAGGACTGAGCAAACATCATCCAGAACAACAGAAAGGCTGGCTGAGTGTAAATTCTACAACTAGAAGGAAAGAAAAGCACGCTGAGAGCCAGAGGCGCTGCGGAGGTGAAGTGCAGAGGTACGGCGGCTCGCGCGCATAAGGAAAGGGGGTGGCACCTGAGGACGCGGCTGTCTTTTTGAATCACAAGCTCCCGACTGCTCTGAACTCCGGTTCCGGGAAGTCTCTGGGGACCCAGGACTCATACGGGGAGAAGCTGGTCTGTCCGGCAGCGGGCGAACTTGAAGGTGGCTTTTCCTCAGAGGTGCTTGCAGCAATTAGCGGGTCACTGAGACCCGCGACTCCAGGCGGAGAATCAGCCATAGCTCCTTGATCCGCCCTTGGATTCCCTGAGACCCCGCCCCACCCAGGCTGCGGCAGAGGCTTTTGCATGTGAATGTACCTAACTGCAGCCGAGCCAGGCAGACCCGGAACTTCCAAGAGAAGGCCCAAGGCCCCGCAGCGGCTTGCATTGCTTCACAGCTGAGCCTCTTCGTGGCTCCTGCTGTGTGGCCTCAGGCAGAGGCTGAATTAGCACCTCCTTAGATCCAGGAGCCACTGTACCCAGTGGTCAGAGGGGGACCATCCAGATTGCAACTCCTCAGATCCATAAGGGACACACCCAGGGAGCAGACTCAGTGAGCACCAAAGCCCCACTGAAGCAAGTCTTGCCCCAGAAGGGTGTCTTCAGCACAGTTCTCCCACTTTAGACACAGCTGATTCTCACAGCCAATTGGCCTGGAGGTCAATTCCTCCCAGTGATCCTACAACAACCAAGGCACCAAGAGTGCACCAAGAGTGTCCACCCCAGGTAACTGGGGAGGCTGAGCTACTGGGCCCTACAGGACACCTGGCGCGCAGGGCCACTCTATCAACACAGGGAAGCTGCCAAAATGCGGAGACAAAGAAACAGGTCACAAATGGCAGAAATGGAGGAAAGCAAACGATTGGATATAGAGTTCAAGGCCACGTTTATAAGGTTTTTCAAGAATTTTATGGAAACCGCCGATAAATTTAATGAATCCCTCAATAAGTATAGTGAGACCATGGAGGACATGAAAAAGGACCAACTAGAAATTAAGCATACACTGACTGAAATAAAGAATAATTTACAGAGATCCAGCAGCAGACAAGAGGATCCCAAGAATCAAGTCAAAGATTTGAAATACAAAGAAACAAAAAATACCCAACCGAAAAAGAAAAAAGAAAAGAGATTCCAAAAATATGAAGATAGTGTAAGGAACCTCTGGGACAACTTCAAGCGTACCAACATCAGAATTATAGGGGTACCAGAAGGAGAGAGAGGGCAAGATATTGAAAACCTTTTTGAAGAAATAATGACAGAAAACTTCCCCTACCTGGTGAAAGAAATGGACTTACAAGTCCAGGAAGTGCAGAGAACCCCAAACAAAAGGAATCCAAAGAGGACCACACCAAGACACATCATAATTAAAATGCCAAGAGCAAAAGATAAAGAGAGAATCTTAAAAGCAGCAAGAGAAAGACAGTCATTTACCTACAAGGGAGTACCCATACGACTGTCAGCTGATTTCTCAACAGAAACCATGCAGGCCAGAAGAGAGTGGCAAGAAATATTCAAAGTGATGAATAGCAAGAACCTGCAACCAAGATTACTTTATCCAGCAAAGCTATCATTCAGAATAGAAGGTCAGATAAAGAGCTTCACAGATAAGAAAAAGCTAAAGGAGTTCATCACCACCAAACCAGCATTATATGAAATGCTGAAAGGTATTCTTTAAGAAGAGGAAGAAGAAAAAGGAACTCTTACCATTTGCCACAGCATGGATGGAACTGGAGAGCGGATAAATACCACATGATCTCACTCATTTGTGGAATATAATGAACAACATAAGCTGATGAACAAGGACTGATCCAGAGACGGAGAGGCATTGATTGGACTGTCGGGACTTGGAGGGAAGGTAGGGGAGGGTGGGGGTAAGGGGGAAAGATCAACCAAAGGACTTATATGCAAGCATATAGGCCTAATCAATGGACATGGACAACGGGGGGGGTGAGGGCATGAGCGGGGGGGTGGGGGTGGGGGGTAGAGGGTAACGTGGGGACAAGGACACATATGTAATATCTTAATCAATAAAAAATAAATTAAAAATAAAATAAAATATATTTTAAAAAAAACAAAACACTTATATTTGGAAAATGGCATCTTCCCCAAGAGAAAAACAAATGTCTTCTGATTCTAGAAATAAAAGTAAAATTACAGTGATTTTGAGAGATTTTCATGATCTAACCAAGAATTCTCCAGCCCTAGCCAGTTTGACTCAGTGGATAGAGTGTCAGCCTGTGGACCAAAGGGTCCAGGGTTCAATTCCAGTCAAGGGCACGTACCTAGGTTGCAGGCTCCTCCCTGGCCCAGACCCTGATCAGGGCACATGCAGGAGGCAACCAATCGATGTTTCTCTCACACTGATGTTTCTCTCTGTCTTTGCCTCTCTCTTCCACTCTCCCTAAAAATCAATGGAAAAATATCCTCCAGTGAGGATTAACAAAACAAAACAAAAAAAAGAATTCCCCAATCATCATCATCACCATCACCATCATCATCTCCCTTTGTTAGTATCAGGGCACTATCCTAGGTGTTTTTATTGTATTTCCTCTAATTCTTAGTACTACTGCTGCTTTACAGATGAGGAAGCAGGCTCACAAAGATTAAAGGATTTTCACAAGGCTGTCTAACAGAGCTAGAGCCAGGATTGTAACCTATGCTGACCCAGATAGAAAGTCCCCATTCCTTCCATTCTGTCCATAGAGGTGTGGACAAAAAAGCGTTCAACAGAAAGTAAACTCATAGGGTGAACTGATCATAAATTCCTAACTTGGCAGGGCATGGTGGGTAGTCACGCCCGGCCATATAACTTCTTTACTGAGAGCGTATAATCTTAACTATTTTGTAATCCAATCCCCCCTTCATATAATCCTTAGTTTCCTCAATTTCAAACGTACAAAAGAAACAAAACTGTCATTCTCAGGAGCAGTGGACACCTCCCTTCCTGGAAACTGTCGTCAGTTTTGGCTCAAATAAACTCAGAAACTCTATACAGGTTTGGAAGTTTCCTATGTCAACGGAGGACGTGTTTTATGGGGCTCCTTTCTGACTGCTGACATTCCAGGCCATAAATCAGCAAGAAGTTCGGTCTGGAGTTAGTGGGGGAAACTCTCTTTCTGACCATATACCAAATTTTTAAAAATTGCATTTTAATTTGTTAGTGTTGAAAACATATTACAACTATGGAATGTAACACTAAAATAAATTTCAAACTCAATAAAACATGGAAATTGAAACAAAATGTGTATAAATGCAGCAGGCAAGTTCCCGGTTTACATATATAATGCATTCCCGGAAACATATGCTAAAACTGAGTATGAGAAACACCAGACTTCTACACTATTTGAGGTGGACACCAGTCTCAGAACTAAAAAACATGAAATCTTTCATAACATGTTGAACCCACAGTGTGAAGACTTAAGTCTAATGAACATCAGAAAGAGACTAAAGATACAACACTTTGAGCAACCTAATTAATGCCATCTGGTCTATATTAAGTTTATGAGATCTATGTTTCTCAATGCTAATCTAGAACTTTTATTTTCCCATTTACTATTCATTTTCATTACATAAGAACAAAATACACTCAAATACTCAGTTATTACACAAAAACGAACACATGGGCAAGGACATACTATTTCCAACTATTAAATACTGGCTGGCAAACAATGCCACCATGCAAAAGTTCCCCATATCATTTGTCACCTAATACACAGATGACCAAAAATAACATCTAAAGGCATTTATACAAATCAGTACATAACGTGCAGAAGTTTGCGTTAACACTAATATCAAATATACCAATGCTGAGGACTATATATAATCAGTCAGAACAGAGCCATAAAAGTGATTGTGATGGTTCTTCCTTCTTGGAAAAACAGCAAAATTCCCCAGAGGCATGTATGTATTGGTTTCCGAAGGATGTTACCAGGCAGGGGATTCCCTACAGTGTCCCACATACCGATGGCTTTCTGCTGCATTAGCACTCCCCTCCTGCTATCTAATAAAGAGGCTTAAATCCTAATGAGAGGATTTCGTACCATCCGAGGTAGGACAGAGCAGAAGGCGAGGGAACAACCAATAATACGGGTGCTGCCATTCTAATCACTACCCTCCTCCTCTTCCTCCAATTCCAGTCAGGTGTTCCAATCCAAGGAAGGACTTCCGCGAGCCTTCAATCCTCTGAAAACCTTTCTATGTACATTCACATGTACTCAGGGGCTCCTGCCTCCACATTCCACAGCAATTTCTATCCTCCATAACATAGCTTTTATTAAAAGGCAAAGACTGAGTTCCACTCATCTCTGCATTGATCTCAAGAGCTTGCTAGCCTGGCACAGAGCAGTCACTCAAACGTCTGGAGCAAGATAGACCAGTGAACACACAAATGAGAAAGTCCCCATATCTTCTCAATTGAAACTACATTTTACAGAGCTTGTACAGAAAATGTGTTTCCAAAGTCTGAAAATAGCACTTGACAAATACATGTTTGACTGACTGAATAAATGTATGTTTCCTGATTCTCCAATAGACTGTTCAATATTGTTCCCTAAGAAACGAATACAGTTGTCTTTACAGTCTCCAAAAAACCTATGAGACATCGTGAAAAAAATCAATCTCTTTTCATAAATATTATACATCTATAAAAACAGTCATCCAGTTAAAAATATGCGTAAGCTGAATATTCTTACATATAATTAAACATCTTCCAATCTTTCCTCCTTTAAACTTTATTTTGTGAAGCTAGAAAGGTATCCTTGCATAGCCCATTCCTAGTTCTCTGAACCAATGAATGTTTCTGAGCTGGGAGAGTTGGGGAAAGTGAGTGTGAGCAGCAGCAGGAGGGCACAGGCACTTGTGACCTAATCGCATAGGCACAGCTGAGAGCAAAAATGCTGACTCCAGGACAGCGGGTCCCCTCGTTCCAGGATAAGCTACAGTGACCATCAGGGATCACTGGAGAGACTACAGAATACTTGTAGTTTTATTTCACTTCTTACTACAGAAAGTAAAACAAATACTAACCTTAGCTCCAGGAAGCACTTCATTTTGTTTCAGCGTGAGACTCAACTCCAACCTACCAATTAGCCCTCCAATCTGCACTGGGTCAGAGGGTGCTACCTCTGGTAAAGTTCTAGTTAGCTGTGGGTGTGGCTCATAAACGATTTTAGGATTCCAGCTAGGTGACAGCTTTGGCTCAGTTTCCTACAATAGGGTGATAAGAATAAAGTACACTGTAAATAAATCAAACTGCAAAATACAAATGTCAATTTAAGAAGAAAATATTTGACATGCAAAACTGTATTACGTTACAATAGATAAACCAGAATCTTATAGCTAGTCTGAGGCACCATTGTATGTTAGCACAGTACCTTGGTAATGAAGACTAATAATGGAAAAGGACTTTATGGAAAAAAAAGCACAGCATCTGTTCAAATTACAGTAATAAGAAAACTTAATAGATGATCTATAATTAAGAAAATCTGATTTGTGAATTAACAAAAGATAAATTATAGAACTAATTTTGATACATAAAAGGAGGAATAAAGAACTCCTTAATTATAAACTTTTTTAAGATATGATTTGTAAGATAAATTTTCAGCAATACAATCACTATGTAAGGTAAATGTGAACATTGCTTGATTTCCTGCATTTATTGTGTAAGGACATTAGTTATTAAGATACCCTTGCTCCCCAAGACACAGTAGCCAATGTTTCTCTAATTAATACACAGCAAAAAGGAAAGGCATCTATAATAATAAAAGCATAATATGCTAATTAGACGAGACATCCTTCTGGACAACCTTCCAGACTAAGCCAGGGCTGCAAGGGAAGCCCAGGTCCCGGGTGCCTACTGGCAGCCAGAGGGAAGCCCAGGTTCCGGGTACCAGAGGGAAGCTGGTGGAAGGAAAGCCTACTCTTGCACGAATTTCATGCATCGGACCTCTAGTCCTATATAATAAAAGGCTAATATGCAAATCGACCAAACGAAGAAATGACTGGTCACTATGATGCGCAATGACCACCAGGGAGCAGACGCTCAAGGCAGAAGCTGCTCCCTGGTGGTCGGTGCACTCCCACAGGGGGAGCAACTGCTGGCTTAGGCCCCCTCACCCCGGGGAGCAGGCCTAAGCCATCAGTCGGACATGCCCTGAGGGCTCCCGGACTGTGAGAGGGGGCAGGCTGGGCTGAGAGACACCCCCCCGCAAGTGCACAAATTCCGTGCACCGGGCCTCTAGTTAATTATAAATATGAATGTTTTAAAATCTCTGAAATACGTCCCCATTACTCAATATTTGTGTTAATTTCCGGATCAGATGGGAACTCATTAACACATTATATATTCTAGCAAAACAGCTCTCACTTAAACCTTTGAAAAATTTGTGATTTAGTTTTGGTTTTGTTTTCCTTACCACTGGTGCAGTTGAACACACTGGGGAAGATTTTGCTGATGCAGAAAACTCATCCCAGAAGAGAGACACTCCAGAGAGCTGGAGTAACTTGTGAGCAAAAGCTGTAGGCTGATGGACGTTAATTCCTGAGGACTCGTCTGCAGTTTCATCACAGTATACAGTTCTGAAAGTTAACACCAAAAAGAGCATTTGCGTAAAACTCCTAGGAAAACCTACTTGCAATGATAAGAAATGCACACAGCTTTTTAAGTTAAAGGGATTTTTCAAGTGTTAACACCTTAGGATGTGTCTATAATGTGGGTCAGCATTACCATGCTTTACCACAGTAAATATTTCATGAGGAGACCTTAGCCCCCAGTAAGGATAACTTCATGAGGCTCCTAAATTTGGGGGGGAAATCAATAACTTTCTAAAGTTAGTTTCAAGGAACAGTTCCTGAGTACCCTCCAAACACCTCTGGGGAACAGTGAAACGGCATCTGGCTCCCTGTCAAAAGCCTGACATAAATGACCTGTCTTGAATTCTTATGACTATGCTATAAATACTTGTCTAATCTTCAGTTTAATCAAAATAAGGAAAGTAGTTCTAAATGCATGAGATTTTAGATATTATTTAACATACTATTCAAGGTAGGGCAACCTAATTTCAAAAATCTTTGAACAATAACTGATAGGTATGTTTTGTGAAAAGACAGAACCCATAACTTATCTGCTTAAAATTTGGCAAAGGTCCCCCACAGATCCATATACAAGTATCATTGGAGCTCAGTGTACATACTTCATTCTGCTTATTTCTGTGGGCAGTTCTCATGGCTCTAAGACACAGTGAACAGTCAGTAACTCTAATCAACACTCATGACATATAAAGTCAATCCCTGCTGAGAACTATTTACTGGGTCCAAGTGGGCATCCACGGAAAACCAAAAGCGATGTTTCTATCTGTTTACATAAATCACTACTGCACATGTTGACCTTATAATACCCTCACAGAATCCTCAAAGAAAACAGAAGTCTTAGCCTTTCTCACCAAAGCAGCAAAACTGCTGCTCACATTAATGAGACACACCTAGAGTGCACTGCTTATGTGCAAAACCTGACACTGCCCAGCGGGAGTGCCTCACCTTAGCAGCACACTGTTTTGACTTGACAGCAACTAAAAGAGAATTTCTTGCTTTGAATTCGACATAGTATTATATATAATTATACCCCAACTGGTACTTTACGTTTTCCATAAAGGGACTGGAACATAGCTTGGAGAGCAGCACTTTACTCCGAAATTACGCAATATATTAATTAAATATCATTACTTCTCACCTCCAAAAGCATTCTGAAGTCTAATAAGAGTTACAGTATGTTATTCATTAAAAAACAGAATAGGGTCATATTTTTCCAGGTATGAAAGGTCTTACCTTTCTATTCGAATTTCAAGTGCAGTTCCAGTTTTGGAGTTTTCTGGCACATGTTCAATTCTCAAGACGGTGTCTATAAAAGTGACTTTTACTCTTCTTAGTACTAAAGTAAATAGGTAACCATTAACATAAGAGACAAATAAAAACTTCGAATGAAAGAATAAATACTAAATTTGTTTAATATACACTTACAAAATAAAATTGAATTCCATTCCTTAAAAATCCCAAACTCTTGAGTTCTGAGCACTTACCCGTTGTTACATCTCATGGACACTTGGGGCAGTGACTAACACTCTCTGTTGAATTCAGACCCAATTCTAAGCATAATAAAGTAAACTCAAGGAGAAGTACAAAAGAACATGAAATTAAATGGAATGCAATATTTAAAAAACCTCAACTCTAAAGTTCTGAAGGGAGAACAGTTCATTTAAAAGTCACTTCAATGACTTTTCCTTATACAAGGCTTACTAAACAAAGATACTAAATGAAATCTCGATTTTTAGAAAAAATACTCAATAATACCAAACCTGTTTCAATAGTTTCAGCAAACTTTTCAAGTCCTTCAAAAGGCTGGGATCCTTCTCCTTGCTCATCTGTTAGTTTCTGGCTAAGACATTCCTTCGCCAACTGCATACTGCTGGTCATGAAACTTGACCAATACATAGGCTCAGATCCAGTTGCTGCAGAAAACATAGATTAATCCTAAATAAGTTTTCATAGTTACCACAAGGCATTTCTTAAAATAACACATTTCAAGTAGATAAATTATTAATCCTCTACAAGATATTTAGCATCAGGGTGTTACCTAGGGATACAATATTCTACAGAAATTACCCCTTAGATTTAAACATCATCTTATAATGACTGGGAGTGGGGGGGGGGGGGGGGGGGCGGGGCGGGATGGGACAAATCACAGTAAAAGTCCAGAGACATGTGCTCTGAGTACATGATATATATTTGCCAATTATTAATTTATGTGCTCATTCAGTGTGTATTTTACACACCCATGAGCTGTTCAAAATACTGTAGAGCAGGAGTTGACAAACTTTCTGTAAAGAGTCTGATAGTAAATATGTTAGGCTTTTGGGGCCATGTAGTCTCTATCACAACTACTCATGAAGGAGTATTTTGGTGTTCCAATAAAATTTTTTTTACAAAAACCAGATTTGGCCTGCCAGCCTTAATTAATTGATCTCCAATAGGAGTAGAAAAATAAAATAATTATTAATTCTGCCCTCAGAGAGCCTATAGCATAATAGAAGAAATGAGATAAGATTAAAAAGAATTAGTACAGCCCTAACCGGTTTGGCTCAGTGGATAGAGAGTCGGCCTGCGGACTGAAGGGTCCCAGGTTCAATTCCGGTCAAGGGCATGTACCATGGCTGCGGGCACATCCCCAGTAGGGGGCGTGCAGGAGGCAGCTGATCCATGTTTCTCGCTCATCAATGTTTCTAACTCTCTATCCCTCTCCCTTCCTCTCTGTAAAAAATCAATAAAATATGTTAAAAAAAAAAAAGAATTAGTACAACGATTACGTCTCAACAGAAAACATTATGGCCACTAAGAGGTGAATTTCTCTAGCTGAGGGGACTAACAGGAAAACAGGCACAGGTAGAGCTGATGCAGGCTTTAGAAGGTTAGTATAAATGTAGATAAAACAAAAGAGCAACCTTTGAGGAAGAAACACATGAACTGAAAAATCCTTTCCAGCGCTTCCCCTCATGAGAGAATTCCACCACACTTCCTTTTGTTATTCAAAACAAATGGGCAGAGATTACTAGAATTACTGTCTTCCAAATCAATTGTAAAAGCCCTTCTAATAGGACAGTTTTAAAGAAAGGAGAAAATATTTGACTTTCCATCAGAAAGTATTATTATATGTACTCAGAGTTAAAAGATAAAATATTCTTGTTTATTAAATACCGGGTTATTAAGGAGGATTTCCATGCACAGATTACTAATTTTCAAAATACAGGCACTATAATTCTACTAAGCATAATTTAAACTTGGTGATTCAGACAGCACTGGAAATTATAATTCTTCAAATATATGTTTAAAAAATCACTTGTCACTGAAAAAAAAAGGAATTTAAGTTCATAATTTAAGATGACTTACCATCGTAACTTAACTGGTTCTTAAAATGCACACACACACATAAATACACACTTTGTAGTAGAAAATCTGAGATACAACATAGCATAGTGGTTAAGAACAAGGACTCCAGAACTAGACTGGCTGAGTTCAGATCCTCTCTTTTCCACTTGACTAGCTATGACCTTGGACAAATTATTAAACTTATATGGGCCTCAATTACCTGTTCTGCAAAATAAAGATAATAAAAAATATCTATTTCAAAGAGTTATTGTGAGGATAATATTTGTAAAGCACGAAGTATAATATCTGGCATGCAAGAGGTACTATATATGCTTAAGTCAGAAAACATCATGTGCAAGTAAAGCTACCACACATATATACTTGTAAACAATTACAACTTTAAAGCTTTTCCTTCCAAAAATTTTTGCCCACTTACCCAATCCTAGGAAAGAGATGAAATAATTGTACAATGAACACCTGCGTGCCCTTCACCTAGGTCCTAGATTCATCAAGATTCTATTCTCTCTCTCTCTTTCTCTCTCTCTCATACTTTTGCTGAACTATTTGAAGATAAACTGCAGACATCATAACACTCACTCCTAAATACCTCAGCATGTAATTCCTAAGAACAAGAACATCCTCCTGCAAAATACACCCAAGAAATATAACTTTAATATATAATACTCTTATGTTTTATACCCAAATTTTCCCAGCTACCCCGATAACATCCTTCATAGCAATAAACAAACAAAGACATGATTATATACTGCAATTAGTTATTCATGTCTTTAGCCCCCTTTAATCTGGAACAGTTCCTCCATCCTTCTTGTCTTCCATTACACTGACATTTTTAGCAGTGCTAACCATTTACTTTATAAAATTTCCCTTACTTTGGATGTGTCTGACTGCTGCTTTATAATTTAGCAGGAACAGTAAGTACAACACTGATGTGTGTCCTTCCCAGTTGATTACATCAGGACACACATGCAGTCAGTTATTTTTGGTGGTGACTGTCAATTTTCTCCAACGTAAAGGTAAGTTTACCCTTTGTAAAAAATATGTAGCCCTGGCCAGGTGGCTCAATTGGTTGATGCATGGTCCCTTACACCAAAAAGGTTGTGAGTTCGATTCCGGGGTCAGGGCACATACCTAGGTTGTGGGTTCAATCTCTGGTCAAGGCGCTTAAGGGAGGCAAACGATTAACGTTTATCTCTCACATGGATGTTTCTCTCTCTTCCTCTCTCTATACATAACCTCTGGTGAGGATTAAGAAGAATCTACAAATCAGTGGGAGATAATTTGACACTGTCTAAATATTAAACTCCTCAACAACCCTTCACTAAATAGTATTAGCATTCATTGATGATTCTGTTCTGTATCAATTTTTACTATGGTGGCCAAAAGAATGGTGAATTCTATTTTTGTTATTTATATGTAAGTAGGTATTCTATTGCAATAAAGATCTTTCCCTTCTCCCTGTCCCCATTACATATTTATTTATTTGTATCAATATGGACTTAGGGCATTTTTTTAATTTAGCATGTTATAATTCATTATTGTCATCATTATTTTTGATACTCAAGCTTTCTCAGATTTGGCTAATGGGAGTCCCTTCAATCCTGATCTTGTGTCCTTTTAACAATTCTCCACAATTTTTGAGCACTTCCTTGCTTTCTGGCACAGTCCTTTGAATCTTTAGAACACAGTAAGTAATTGGTAACAAATAATTACATCAACCATCTACATACTAAAGTTCCTGTGGGTAAATAGGCAGAAAAGTAACATTAAAGATACAATCACACACATACACCACACCCTACACCGACCCATTTTATCTATCTCACAAATACAATGCAAAGTAATAAATTAAATATTGAATATAATGCAATTAGATTACTTTCCCAATCTCTGGGAAATAAAATAGAAACACTCAATAGAATAAAATAAAATAGAACACATGAGAAACACCTACCTAGGCGAGGTCTAGGTCGGAAGACCATTTCTAGCCCTTTCACTTCCAGTGCACAATTGTCCTGTAGCAAGGAGCCCCATGGAACTGACAGAGAAATTGACTGTATGAATCCTTCAGTGACTTCTAAAGGCGCATCTGCTGACTCCAGGATCTCATTGAGACACTAAAGAGAAAAACCAAGGGCAATTTTAAATCACGAGAACTTAAAATTGTTAACGTATTCAGATGCTGAATATGCTCATATATGTGTCAGGCACTAGGATAAAGGAAGCAGAGACCTAGTTAGTGACGATCCCTGGTCCTCACAAGCTTACAAAGATAACTTACCATGAAAGGCACACGTAATTAAAGTGTGATGAGTTGCACCCAGCAGATGTGGCTCAGTGATTGAGTGTCGACCTATGAACCAGGAGATCACAGCTCGATTCCCAGTCAGGGCACATGCCCGGGTTTCGGGCTCAATCCCCAGTGTGGGGCGTGCAGGAGGCAGCTGATCAATCTCTCTCATCATTAATGTTTCTCTCTCTCCCTTCTTCTCTGAAATCAATAAAAATATATTGTTTTTAAATATGTTTTATTGATTTTTTTTTATGGAGAGGGACAGAGTCAGAAACATCGATGAGAGAGAAACATTGATCAGCTGCCTCATGCACACCCCCACTGGGGATGCGCCCGCAACCAAGGCACATGCCCTTGACCGGAATCAAACCTGGGACCCTTCAGTCCGCAGGCTGATGCTCTATCCACTGAGCCAAACCAGCCAGGGCAAAATATATTATTTTTTAAAAGTGAGATGAGTTACATGCAGAGAAAATGCATTGTGCTATTTGAGCGTGTAAAGACCCTAACCTGGCACGCTAGTTGAGGAAGTGCTATTTAAAGCTGAGACGAGAAGGCTGAGGAGTAACTAGGCAAAGTGTTCCAGGCAAAGACAAAGGCATGTGGAAGGATTAAAAAAAAAAGCAGAGGTCAGAGAGGGCAAGCACACCTACTTGAGATGCAAGAGTATCTAAAGAGAAAAGCAGCTGTAGCTTTAGTGTACTGTGTCAGGGTGATGAGCCAGAGATAAGGCTACAGAGATAAGAGAGAGGGGCATCCAAAGAACCTTGTAATTCATGTTAGAGTCTGAAATTTATCTCAAGGGCAAGGTGAAACCATTGAAAGATTTTGAGTTTCCATGCCATGACGGGACTGGAACGTTTAGAGGGCCTCTCCTGCAGCCAGGTAGAGCATGAATTGGAAGAAAGCAAACCTCAGACAGAACGGTCGTGATGAGTAGAAGCTAGAAAAGTTGATTTGGCAAGAACAGCAACACTGAGGACAGTGAGAAGCGGACAGATTGTTGTAATACATTAGGAAGCCAAGTTAGCTGCCATCAAGAGGAAAGAAGAATGACTCCGGGTGCTGGCTTGGGCAACTGCTTAAACAGTGGTGCCATTTACTAGACAGAGAAACCTGGAGAAGCTGGTTAGGCGACAGATGAGGAGTTCAGTCCCAAAGAATACATTTGAGCAGACATCCAGGTGGAGATGTCTAGGAAGCAGCTGGAAATTCCGGTCTAGAGCTCGAGAGAGTCATCTGGGCTGGAGACAGAGAAGAGCATTGTGAACACAGAGGGTAAATGACGCCACGGCGGTGAGAGATGACCTTTAGGAACTTATGTAGAGGAAAACAACAAGAGGCCTAGGACAGAACCCTGGTAAACACCAATATTTAAGAAACACGTTAAGAAAGAGGAACCTGCAAAAGGCAGAGAGGAGAAGGGAAATCAAGAAAACTTCATTTTCCAGAAAATCATGGAAAGACAATGTGAAAGAAAAGAGTGGGAGGAGAACCAAGATGGCGGCATAGGTTAACGCCGGAGTTTGCTGCTTTGAACAACTACTTCAAAAGTGAAACTAAAAGACGGAAGGGACATCACCCAGAACCACAGGAACGCTGGCTGAGTGGAAGTCCTACAACTAGGAGGAAAGAGAAATGCATACGGACACTCAGAGGAGGCGCAGTGCTGAAGTCAAATTCTGAGGTGCGGAGTGCGTGGAGCCGGCTGGCGGCGGAGGGCGCGGTTGGCGATTTCAATCGGGAGGGAGTCGCAGACTCTGAGCTCCAGATACAGGCGAGTCTTTAGGGACCCAGACTCAAACGGGAGAAGCGGGACTGTCTGGCTTCGGTTAGAGCGAGTGCAGCTTTCTCTCCGAGCTTTGCAGCGGGTACTGGGACTCAGAGAGGCAGAGCCCCTGGGGACAGGACTGAGAGCCGCCATAACTGCTCTCTCTGGCCCACCCTGTTGATCCTGTGCGACCCGCCCCGCCCAAGCCCTGCACACAGGCATTTGCCGGATAGCCTCAGGCAAACGCCAGATTAGCACCTCCCTAGAGGACAGAAGTTCTCTCACTACTGACACAGCTGATTCTCATAGCCACTTGGCCTGGAGGTCAAACCCTCCCTGGTATTAGCTACAACAATCAAGGTTTAACTATAAGACTGCGAACAAAGACCACTAGGGGGTGCACCAAGGAAGCATAACAAAATGCGGAGACAAAGAAACAGGACAAAATTGTCAATGGAAGATATAGAGTTCAGAACCACACTTTTAAGGTCTCTCAAGAACTGTTTAGAAGCCGCCGATAAACTTAATGAGATCTACAAGAAAACTAATGAGACCCTCGATCTTATATTGGGGAACCAACTAGAAATTAAGCATACACGGACTGAAATAACGAATATTATACAGACTCCCGACAGCAGACCAGAGGAGCGCAAGAATCAAGTCAATGATTTGAAATGCGAGGAAGCAAAAAACACCCAACCGGAAAAGCAAAATGAAAAAAGAATCCAAAAATGCGAGGATAGTGTAAGGAGCCTCTGGGACAGCTTCAAGCGTACCAACGTCAGAATTATAGGGGAGCCAGAAGATGAGAGAGAGCAAGATATTGAAAACCTATTTGAAGAAATAATGACAGAAAACTTCCCCCACGTGGTGAAAGAAATGGACTTACAGGTCCAAGAAGCGAGGAGAACCCCAAACAAAAGGAATCCAAAGAGGACCACACCAAGACACATCATCATTAAAATGCCAAGAGCAAAAGATAAAGAGAGAATCTTAAAAACAGCAAGAGAAAGAAACTCAGTTACCTACAAGGGAATACCCATACGACTGTCAGCTGATTTCTCAACAGAAACTTTGCAGGCCAGAAGGGAGTGGCAAGAAATAGTCAAAGTGATGAATGCCAAGAACCTACAACCAAGATTACTTTATCCAGCAAAGCTATCATTCAGAATTGAAGGTCAGATAAAGAGCTTCACAGATAAGGAAAAGCTAAAGGCATTCATCACCACCAAACCAGGATTATATGAAATGCTGAAAGGTATCCTTTAAGAAGAGGAAGAGGAAGAAAAAGGTAAAGATACAAATTATGAACAACAAATATGCACCTATCAACAAGTGAATCTAAGAATCAAGTGAATAAATAATCTGATGAACAGAATGAACTGGTGATTATAATAGAATCAGGGACATAGAAAGGGAATGGACTGACTATTCTTGGGGGGGAAAGGGGTGTGGGAGATGCGGGAAGAGACTGGACAAAAATCGTGCACCTATGGATGAGGACAGTGGGTGGGGAGTGAGGGCGGAGGGTGGGGCGGGAACTGGGAGGAGGGGAGTTATGGAGGGGAAAAAAGAGGAACAAATGTAATAATCTGAACAATAAAGATTTAATTTAGAAAAAAAAAAAAGAGTGAGCAAGTGCAGCAACAGCTAAAAAGGACTCAAAGATTTTTAAGTGTCCCCTGGACTTTACTAGGTAAGTGGTATTTAGGGTACAGGTGATACCATTGAGAGGGATTTCAATAGAGTGGGGAGGCAAGCTAGATTATAACAGAAGGGTGACAGAAAGGATGTAAATACAGTTAGCAGAATAATTAAATGCGTTTCTGACAATGAATTTTTAAATTAGAATAAAAGTTATTAAATGCCAGTTTTATGTAGGGTACTTCCTGAAGGCCATGTTGCATAAGGGTGGAGTCATAATTCTTTGTCTACAAGCCTAATGCTGAATATTGAGTGAGACGGAGACTGGCTCCCGTTTTACCAGGTTTCTCCTGAAAGGCTTTCTGCATGTTGGGGCTTGCGTAATCATCCAGACTTTCTAAAAAGTACATGGGCACGGGTGGTCTCAAGGTACAAACACCCAGATCCTCACTCTATAAAGATACTCTTTCCCCAAACTGACCTTCCTCGGAAGAGTACTTACAGCAGTGACGTCAAGTTGGGTCTGCTTTCCCATAGCCCTCCGTGTGACTCACTTCTCCCACTTAGCCAAAACAGGCCTATCCTTTTACCTTCCTGAATCCTCTCTTACACACTACCTAGCGTATAAAGATCTCCAGGCAGGGCCAGAAACTTAAGTTTTCTGGTCTTTCACTGTCTTATACATATTTCTGACATGACACCAAAGAAAATCAAAGAACTAAGTGACACTGCTACTGCAAATCCCTTCAGTTCTCATCCACTTAGTTAAGACATCAGTGTTTCTCAAGCTTGCAATTATTTTAAAAATTTAGAATGAGCCCTGGCCAGGTGGCTCAATAGGATGAAGTGCCGTCCCTTATATCAAAAAGGTTGAGGGTTCAATTCCTGGGCAGGGCACATTCCTAGGTTGCGGGTTTGATCTCCAGTTGGGGAGCAATTGATGGGTGTTTTTCTCTCTCTCTCCTCTCTCTCTCCTCTCTCTCTCTTTTGCTCTTTCCTCCCCCCTTCCTCTCTCTCTGAAATCAATAAAACATATTCTCAGGTGAGAATTAAAAAAAGAAAAAGAAAATTTATATAAAAGCACCCAATATGTAAATAAATGGTCACTATTATCTTCAAAAGCAAACTAAAATCCCCTGCCTTGATGCCATGCCCCTCTAGTCATCAACCTCATTTCTCTTTCTTTTGTCAAGGGAGCTATTTTCTCAAACCACAAACTACTATCTGCCTTCTAACACTCAGCTCCTTTGAAACTGCTCTTAACCACCAATAAACTGACAAATGCAATGAAAAACATTCAGTCCTCATCTTCCTTGAATACTCATCTCAGTCTAATTCCTATTTTGAAATTCTAACTTTTCTTGGCTTCCATAACATGCTAACAGTCTTTTTTCCAACTCTTTACCACTTAAAATGATGATACTCCTCTAAGTTTTATCTTCAGCTTTTTTTGTTTCTCAACTAATCTACAACTGCCCATGCACTTTATGCCATTCCAGTGTTTCAGTTACCACTGATACTCTGATAACTCCCAAATCTTCCCAACTCTTCCTCAAATCCAATACTATATAGCATTTTGACCACTTCAATGGGAAAAGAACTCATGAACTCCTCCCTCCCACTCCAAGCTCCTTGAAGTTAGCAGTCTCTAAAATGTATCTATCCCAGAGATAATAGATGAGCCAATAGAGATGTGAGTAGAAAAATTAGACATTCTATATTAAATTTTTCACATTTTTATACAAAGGGCATTGGCACCCTCACTCCAGCCATATATCAGACTGGTACAAAGAGAAGACCAGCCCTAGCAGGTTTGGCTCAGTGGATAGAGCATGGGCCTGTGGACTGAAGGGTCCCAGGTTTGATTCTGGTCAAAGGCACATGCCTGGGTTGTGGGCTTGATCCCCAGTAGGGGGCATGTAGGAGGCAGCTGATCAATGATTCTCTCTCATCAGTGATGTTTCTATTTCTCTCTCCCTCTCCCTTCCTCTCTGAAAAAATATATATATTTTCAAAGAGACCAGTAGTTCCACAATGGGGAAGAGTTAAGAATGGTGCCCTCAGTTGGATGTTCCATTCCAACACACTGAAACTTACCTGAGCATCATTCTGCACAATAAAAAGAGACCTGTAGCCCTGGCTGGGTGGCTCAGTTGGTTGGAACATTATCCCACACACCAAAAAGGCTGTGGGTTCAATTCCCTGTCAGGGCACATGTGTAGGTAGTGGGTTTGATCCCCAGTTGGGACTTGAGTGGGAGGCAACCAATGTTTCTCTCTCTTCCTTCTTCTCTCTCTTAAAAGGAAAAAACAAAAACATATCCTTGGGTAAGGATTTAAAAAACCCAAACAGACTTTTAAGCAACAGAATCTTTGTAAAAAGACAAAAAGTGACAATAACTTTCTGATTTTCTGGCTTTACTTATGGCCAAATATTTAAGAGATGATTTTAAAGATGAAAAGCAATTTTCTTCTGTATAAACAGAAGAATTCTAAATATGCTGATCACTTATGTGATGACAAATAGCTATCAATAGTATATGCTATCAGGCAGGTATATTCCAAAAAACAAAACATACTGTATATTTTCAAAGTACAGATACCATTTTAGTAATGAGTGAGAAAGTAAATACTTTTCAAAGGATACTTGTACTAGGAGGAGAATGTTTTGAAAAATTATATTTGGAAATGTCTCTATTGTTACATGATTTTGTTGCTGAAATAATGTCTATTAAAAATACTATCTTTTTTTAAAGTCATTATCTACACAAAAGTTATAAAAGGTTTGAACATAGGGAAAATTATCCCAATGAATCTAAAAGTCTTGCTGAAGAGTTTTTTAAAGATATATATATATAAAATCACCTTCCAATTAATTAGCAAAAATAACTGATTGAGACCAAGGAAGAAGGGAATGTCCCTGCCAATGTCAACATAATCCTGTGCATAATTAATGGTTGGCAATTGAAACATTAGTGATGTCACCAATTATGCAATTCTTCCATTTGTATCTATGATTCTGTGAGGTAGCTTTTTTTCAGTAATGAAAGTCAGTCGAATGAAGTGTCAAAAGTAACTGAATTTGGAATCAGAAGTTTGAATAGCTATATTTAAGTGTCACATCAAGATTTATCAACAACGCTGGCCAGTTTGGCTCAGTGGATAGAGTGTTGGCCTGTGGACTGAAAGGTCCTGGGTTCAATTCCGGTGAAGGGCACATGCCCAGGTTTCGGGCTCACTCTCCAGTGTGGGGTGTGCAGGAGGCAGCCGATCAATGATTCTCTCTCATCACTGATGTTTCAAACTCTCTCTCCCTCTCCCTTCCTCTCTGAAATCAATAAAAGTATATATATTTTTTTAAAAAGAGTGATTGCTAAAATAGCTTTATTAAAAAAAGATTTATCATCAACAGAACACACTATAATTAATAAATAAATTAACAGCAACAAATGTTTACTGGATGCTTTATTTGACATTATCATTTTGGCTGGGCATATACCTCACCTTCAAGGAAAAGGACAAAAAATATTCAGAGTAAGTCTAGCCATAAATCACTATACCAATGATCCTGAAGTCAAACTGTAAAATTCAAATATTACCACCTCTGATTTTCCATGAGGATTACATGATCCACACAAATTAAGAGTGTCTACCATAGCGTCTTAAATACAAAAGATGCTCAATAAACATTTACTTTCCTTTGAAGCCATAGGATTCATAAAGAAATAATGGCCTTAGGAATTAGACAGGTTTGAATTCTCACTGTACCACTTGTTGGCCGTGTCACTTGGGGAAAATTATTTAACTCCATCTGTAAAATGGAAATAATAATACCCACTTTATAAGATTAATGTGAAAAGTCACTAATGAATAATGTATACAAAATCATTCAACCCACAAAAGACAGTTAGTAAGTATCCAACCCTCCTCCTTCAAGATAGCCTATTCATAACTGTACTGAAAGTAGAGACTCATGGATCGTTAAATTTATTTTATTTTGTTATGGGTCATTGAATTTTAAAATATCCACCATAATCCCTATCTTCTGGTAAGAATTACAGCAGTACAGTACCCTGCCACAGTGCCTGGCATGGAGTGTATAGCTATTCCATTAATGTTGACTGCACTCAGGTGAGTTCCTATGTCCAATGTCAATAGGCAAACTGTGGCAGCTGGGCTGGCCTGGCATGGGCCTGGGTCTTCCCATTATCCTATGTACTCTCCCTAGTTTAAATCGTCTCGTTACGGATATTCATGCTAGTGCAAATCAATGTAAGGACCATAATGCAGAATTAGCATAATTTGAGCTTTTCGAGTTTCTATGGCTAAGAAGTCATTACTTTGTTAAAATACTTTTTCATAAAAGGGAAAACCACAGCTTTTTTACACAGCTTAAATTAGGAGGGAAAAAAGTTTCCTTTTGTTCTTGCACAAATGATGTCCTACATGGAAACTGCTTAGGATTGCTTTTAGAAGAGTAAAACTCTAGAACGGCACAACCGATTCAAACAGAGCAGCGAACTCCAGCGCAGTAAATAAATGGCCGGGGCGAGGGGAAGCCACTTGTCAAACCCAAGGCGGCGCGTACTTAAGCAAAGCACTACCCAGTGAGCGTTCAAATGCAAGTGCAGCTGTCCGTGCTGAGCTGAAGTATACCTGAAGCACCTGTAGGCCACAAGGAGTCGCCTCACAGCCTCCGGATGGCAGGTAGGAAACAGGATTTAAATGCCCGAGAATCGCAGCCTCAGCGCTTTTGCAACACCTGCGCTGGCTGACGCTCGGTCACGTGAAACCGCCCGCGCTCCCAGGGCCATTCACAGGCTGGCCTTGCACCATGTCAACAAGCAAAGGCAGGCAAACCGGCGGGGGCGGCCTTCACCCAACTTTCTCCCGGTGGCAAACGCGGTTCCGAGTCCACGCTGTGCGAGGAGCCGACCCCCAACACATGACCGAAAGCCTGGGAGTGCTGACATCCCCGAGGTCCTCCCATCCTTCCCGCTCCCGAGTGTCATCCCATGAAACAGGGTCCGTTTGCCACTGAACCCCCGCGACCCCTTCGATCGGAGGGGGCAGCCCGGTCACCTCCCTCCATGGACGCCTTCCCAGACCCCAGCCACTGACCCCACGGGTTCCCACCGTGCAGACTCCAGTGTCTCGGTTACGTTTCTGGAACACGTGTTGGGAGGGCGCAAACTTGCTAGAAAGAGATGAAGCAACCCTTTCCGCACGGTTATCTGGGCCCTGCCGCACTGCCCAGGGAGGGGACGAATGTCACCAATTTTGGGATGACAGCCCTTCAAATAGGCCTACGGAGGGGAGCGAGGCCCGCACGCCCGGCCGGCCGGCCGCCGGCAGCTCTTACCCATTTGTCCAAGGGGACCTGGGCGAGGGAGCCGGTGCCCTGGTACAGGTCCAGGCTGAGCTGCTCCAGGCTCAGCTTCTCCTGCAGGAAGTGGCCCAGGTACCGCTGCAGGAGGTACCGGCAGGCCCTCTTCTTGATGGACTCTGAGAACGGCCACGGCATGATGAAGGCTGGCGGCGGCTGCGGGCGGCGGCGACTCCGGCCTCGTGGCGCAGGCTCCGGCTCCAGGCCGCGACCGCGGCGCCTCGGGTCCCGGCCGGCGACCCCGGGCCGCGGCTGGGCCTAAGCCCGGGGCGGCTCCTCCATGCCCGCCGGTACCGGGCGTCCCTCAGGGCGACCCCATCTCCCGCGCCGCGTCGTTCGCTCTAGGCCTGGCGGACCGGGACGAGGCGCAGAAGAGTCCCCGTCGCCCCTGACCCGCGGGGTCCGGGGGATCCCCTTCTACACAGAGAGAGGGTGCAGGAGAGGCGGGGGGAGGCGACAAGGCCCGAGGCAGGGGCTCAGCGGACACCTCCACCGCCGCCGCGCGACGAATTTGTTGTCATCCGGGGGCGCGCTCCCGGCTCTGGCGACGCTCCCGGCGCGTTCGCGAGACTTGGACTCCCTGCGCGCGACCGGAAGTGACGTCACACTGGGCCTGGCGGAGGCGGGAAGAAGGGCCCGGAAGCGAGTGGTTCCGGCTCCGAGGGGGCGGGGCGAGGGGCGGAGGGGGCGGCGCCGCAGGTCGGCTCCTGACGCTCGGGGTGGGGAGACCCGGAGGACGGCGGGCGCGCAGGTGAGCGGCCGCTGGGATAGCTGCGGGCGGGCGGGAGGGAGGGCGGCCGCCGAGAAGAGCTACCGGGAGAGGAGGTCAGGCCGGGGACCCTCCGAGCAGGACGCGGCGCCGCGGGCCCGGCCGGGAGGGGCGGCGGCCTGGGCCGTCCCGGGCATCTCGGACGCCGCCCCGAGGGGAGAGCTGCCGCTGCCGCTGTCGCGCACCCCCGCCGCCCCGAACACTGCCCGGTGCTGCTCATTGTCAGCAAGTTCATCGTCGCCCGACTCGGTCAGGTATTGTCTCCAAAGCTCCCTCTTCGTTGCCGCTGGGCGGCTGGCAGCCTGCGGGGCGCGCTCTTCGTCCTGGGTGCGCTGCCCTGGGACCAGGAAACTTGAGTTTTCGAGGCATTTGTGGGCAGAGCTGCTTTCTCTGATCGGTCCCCAGCCTCCCTCCCGGCCTCGCGGAGCCGTGGGCGAAGTCCTCGTTCCGGAGTCTGCGCCGTCGGCTATCTGCCTTTGAGGAGGCAGCTCCTGCCGAGGGGCACTGCTCGGAGGCGCCCCGAAAGGCCTGCGCCGGGGTTCGCCGGCCTGGAAGCCCGGCGCCCCGGGTTACAGTCCTGACGCCGCCGCTTAGCCCAGCCGCTGTGCGCCGGCACTGCCCTGGAGCCTTTGCCAGATGGGAGCCGATTAACGTGTGCTCCCGAGGATTGTTGTGAAAATCAGCTATGATGACCGAACCTAAACAGAGCCCTGCTCCAGGTAGTTTAATTAAGGATAGCAGCCGAAGACGACCTGTTCAAGGAGAGCTTGTTTGTTGGTAACTCGTGAATGCCTTCGAAATACCAGCACAGCCCCCCGAATATTGCCCGATAGAGGGCGCTCCGGTTCCCTTTCATTTTAGAACCAGGGTGCCCCCTGGAGTCCGTAGTGGGTCGGGTTGTTGGTGCCCCACGTTCCTAAGAGGCTTGTCCCAAGCCTTCTCAGTGACTTCCAACCCCCTTGCTCCTGGCTCATGCAAAAATACCGGTTCAGGGTCCATTACCCTAAAGTGTTCCCACCTGGAAAAGTGAAAAGGGTAAATAAGAATCAGGCAGAACCTTCAAGGAACTTACGTTCTACCTTTTCTCAGTAAATCCTTACTGATTTCCTGCACGAGCCAGGGGCTGTTCTAGGTGCTGGGGAGACAGCACTGGGCCAGCCAAGGCCCTGTCCTCTTGGAGCTGGCCTGTCATTGAAGGCAGGGGAAACAATGATCCAATAAATAATGTGCCATGGCGCCCTCCCTACAGGAAGCATGAGCAAGCCATTCCCTTCCCCTCTCTTTTTCCCCCACAGGCACCTGTCCCCTAACTTTCTAAGGAACCCCATGATATTTTTTGCTACAGTCAATTAATTCTTCCTTGCTTTTCTACAAATAAATAATTTGCCATATGGTGATGTGTGCTGTAGGGAAAAAATTCTATCTAATAAAGAGGGAATATGCTAATTGACCCTCACACTGTTGCAAAGATGGTGGTGCCCACAGCCAATAAGGAGGGAATATGCTAATTGACTGTCACACCCTCAAAGATGGCGGTGCCCGTAGCCACAAGGTGGTGGTGCCCAGTCCCCTCAGCCCCGCCGGGGTGGCAGGCGCACAGCAAGGCCGGGCCGCGGGCGGCCACTCCGTGCGCCTGCCTCCGGAGTCCCTCAGTCCCCCAGCTGCCCAGGGCCGGCCCGAGGTGCAGGCAAGCCCCAGATGGCCGCTGCCTAGGGCCAGCTGAGGCTTGTGCTGCCATCAGTGGCAGCAGCAGAGGTGTGATGGGGGTATCACCTTCCCCTGATCGCCAGGTCGCCTCCCGCCCCTGAGAGCTCCCCGACTGTGAGAGGGGGCAGGCCGGGCTGACGGACCCCCCTCCAGCGCATGAATTTTCATGCACCGGGCCTCTAGTAAATAAATAAAGCAATATAATCCTGGCTGGAGTGACTTGGTTGGGCGTCATCCCTTGCACCAAGAGGTTGCCAGTTTGATTCCCATCAGGGCACATGCCCGGGTTGTGAGCTTAATTCTGGTCAGGGGAATGTGGGAGGCAACTCATTGATGTTTCCATCTCACATCGATGTTTCCCTCTCCTCCTTTCCTCTCTCTCTAAACATCAATTTTTTAAATCTTTAAAAAAGATAAATTAAACAATATAAAGAGAATGGAGACGAAAGAGATTTGTCACTTTTATATAGAAGGGTAAGGAACAACCTCTTACTTGATAAGGTAACATTTTAGCAGAGACTTGGAGAAAGCTAGGTAGCAAGGCACATAAGTACCTGGAGTTCTTTCCCACGCAGAGGAGCAACAAGTGCAAGGCCCTATCCCGAGGGAGGGAAGGGGAAGGGGGTGAGGGAGGGTCAAGTCATGTAGTGCATTGTAGGCAATTATAAGAACACTAGAAGCCTGGTGCATGAATTCGTGCATGGGTGGGGTCTGGTCAGCCTGGCCTGATGGATGCCCATCAGGCCAGGTGGCAGGGGAGAGGGGCCACAGGAGGTTGGCCAGCCCCACCCCTGATGGGCAGGCAACCGGGGGCCGGGCTGGCCAGAGGGAGGGGCCACAGGAGATTGGGGGGCCAATCAGGGTCCCGATCAGGCCTGTTGGCTGCTGCAGTGCGCGTCATAGCACTGGTCCTTCCGGTGGCTTGGCTTTTATTTATATATAGATTGACTCTCACTCTGGATGAAGGAGTTTGAGGAGAGGAGTGACCTATTCTGGCCTGTTTTTACTAACTGCTTTGTTGAGAATAGATAGGTAGAAGTAGAGTGGCTTGGACTAGAGTAGTGGCAGTGAAGATGGTAAGAAGCAATTGGATTCTGGATATATTTTGAAGATAATAAGACATGTTTGTGAGTAATAATTATAATACTTGCCATAAAAGGAGCGTAAACAAAGTGGTATGAAAAGGTGGAATCTCATCTGGCAGGGAATTAGAATAGGCCTTGAGAGGTTTGAACTGAACTCTTGAGTAATAGGTACAATTGACTTCTTTCAGGTTCACATGTTAAATAGTAAGTGACTTCTTTTGAAATATAGATTATGATTACTATAAGTATGTGACCCAAGTAGAAAAGATTAGATACTGCAAAAGAAAAGATTGGTGAACTTGAAGACAAAACAATGGAAACTATTAAAAGTGAAACAGAAAAGAAAATGAAAAAATTAACAAAGCTGTGAGGAATAGGACAGCTTCACTTGGACTCATATTCATGAAATTGTAGCCCCCAAAGAGAGGAGGGACAGATAATAATAATAATGAAGAAATAATTACCAAAATTTGTTGAAATTTACTGAAAACTATAAACCCACAGGCAAGTGGTTCAGTGAACCCAAAGAAAAAGAAACATGAAAAAAACTATACTGCCCTAACTGGTTTGGCTCAGTGGATAGAGCATCGGCCTGCGGACTCAAGGGTCCCAGGTTCGATTCCAGTCAAGGGCATGCTGATCGATGTTTCTCTCTCATCGATGTTTCTAACTCTCTATCCCTCTCCCTTCCTCTCTGTAAAAAATCAATAAAATATATTAAAGAAAAGAAAACTATACCAAGTGGAACAAAGATAACAATGGGATCAGATTTATCATAGGAAACAATGCAAGCAAACTGATAATAGAAAAACATCTTTAAAGTCTTGAAAGGGGGAGGCAAGCTGTCAAACTAAGATTTTTATACCTAGCAAAAATACCTTTCAAAATGGAAGGTGAAAGGAAGTCCTGTTCAGATATACAAAAGCTGAAAGAAGTTAACAGCAGCAGATTTATACTGCAGGAAATGTTGAAGGAAAATTGAATGGCAGAAGAAAAATGGTACAGGTAATAGACCCAGATGTAGATCAACACAAAGGAATGAGGGCACCAGAAATGGTAACTAAACGGTTAACTCTAAAATACCTGTGCAATGGTGATGGTGCTGGAGTTACAAAGCATGAAACCTATAGTTAAGGAACCTTTCCAAAGGAGACAGTAACTTGGCAAGTACTCTGAGCCTCCTTTTAATAGAACCCTGTAAACTGGCTGTTTATATTGCCCATCCAATATATTAATTAACTTTTCCAAAAAGAAAGGGCAGAAAACAAAGTCTCTTCAACTATCTGAACACTGTTTTTCCTGCTGATAGCATATGGACACTGTGGTACAGAGGCTATGCCTCCCATCCATGTTGCCCATGTCCTAATCCACAGAAACTGAACATGTTGCCTTAAATGGCAAAAGGAACTTCCTAGATTTCTCACCTCCAGAATTGTAAGAAAATAAGTTTGTGTCGTTTTAATTTACTACATTTGTGATAATCTGTGACAGCAGCAATGCAAACTAATATAGAAACATTAATATTCAAATTCTACAAAGCTTTATAAGCACTTTGTATATGACAGGTATAAAAATATCATTAGGGTTCCATTTATTTTCGTCCTCTTCTATAAAGCTGTTGAAAAGCTAGATCAATCATTGCTTTTTATTTGGGGTAGTCTCCTAAATCAGTTAGGATACTTTCAGTTGCCAGGAAAGTAGCTGGCATTTATTGCTCCAATAACTGAAAAGTGCAAAGGTTAGGCAGCCATCAGAACTCTGGCAACATTTCTCAGTCAACCTTTTGGCCCTGTTCTTTTCCCATTTTCAGCGCCGTCTTGGCCCAGTTTCTCCCATCTCAGGATGGCAGCCAGAAGGAGCTGAGCTCTGTGCTCTATTCTGGATTAAGGTGACTAGAAAGAATTTCGTGTATTGTTAGTTTAGGGCACTCTAACTGGGTGGGGGTCAGTATCACCCAAATTACTTTACTCAGTAGGAGAAAGGGGCAT